CCTGAATATCTCGGTTGTTTAAATATAGGTGCAGAGGTTTGATGTTGCTTGAAACGTACACAGCGTTATCTGGCGACGAGCTTAAAAACATACTACCACAATTTCTGACAATCGAAAAGGAAGTCACCGGGAACCCGGACTACAGCATGTTCAATCTTAGCCTGCGAGAAGAGTGGAACAACACTAATAAATACTGCCACAATTTACACGGTATGCGTCACGTGTTCTTTTACATTTTCTTTTCTTTTCTTTTCTTTTTTTTTTTCGATTAAATTGTCTAGGTGTAACTTATGCTATAGCATGTAGTATAAGTTAATCCATCCCATATGTTTTCCCTTTAGTATAGGCGATCTTTCGTTTGATCAGTCTCTTTTGAATTGCACAGATTACGCTCTTGCAGGCTTGGCGGAATCTGGATCAACAGAAAGTAAAAATATCGATACCTCGGAAGCGAGAGATAACGCATCGGCTAGGAAACAAGTAAATGGGATTGCTTCTAGAGTCAATGGTGTAGATAAAGTTGTTAACGGCGTGCAGAATGGTGTCCATGGTGTAACGAATGGGAACGCTAAGTTCGTTGAACGGAGTAGCATAAAAAGCAATAGTCAAGGAGACGTGAAACGCAACGTGTGCGATAGTCCCACGAAAAATTTGAATAGATTGTAAGAGAACAATATGGAAGAGTATAAATGAGAACAGGTTTTAGAATGATGCGAGAAAGCACGACGATAAAAGTAGGGCAACGAGAAGAGGCAAATTATTTAAATAATTCCAAGGAAAAGCTAATGTATTTTATCGGCACCTGACAGTTAACTCGAATCCAAAATTTCCTATGCAATACGAAAGTGACAAATTTACAAACCGCAACATCGATTCTCTAATCAGATCTTGCGTCACATTCGAGATGTACTCTATGCGAAATGTACTTAATAATTCGATTGTAAATTATTTTTTACCGATCTGTTTACTAAGTGATGTCGAGAAATCTACCGAGTATTTTTACATCTGAATCACTTTCACTTCACTTTTCATCTCTTTACTTCGTTGCGTATCGTATCTATAGTATAGTCGTAATTCTTTATTTAAGGAAATTTACTATACATTATTGTGATACAAAATACATGTAGCGCGTAGCATGCAAACTAAGTATTCGAGCAATCTAGTTATCAAAGAACATACGATCAGTGTGAAGTATACTTTTCCTTAGAAACGTTTAACATTGTCTCAATAGAAAATCAATGTTCTGCACTAACGTAAACAAATTTAAACGATTTAATTTATAAATTATACTGTAGAAAAACAGAAAAACTTTCGTCCCTACGCGTAGGTCTAATTGCAAGAAAATTATTTATTAGTGGTCCACGCCTAAAACGCGGAGATAAATCTAATAGTTCACTTGTCTTTTAATGCATAATGGTGAGGTAATTAACAAAAAAAAAAAAAAAAGTATGATTCAATGATTGTACTGTTCTGCAGTATTTTCAGAATTCTGTATTATAGTCTTGACAAAGTAATTGTCAAACATACTAGTACTTAACAGGTATATTTCCATTAAAATTTTGTCCATACAAAACACTTACAATTTATTGGAAATACTTTTGATGTGAGTAATGACATAAAATATGCTGAGTGTAGCATTTTACGAAAACTATTGATTTGGAGTAAACAAGTTATTAAAGATTTATTATATACTTTACTAATTAAAACCTTTTTTTTGTCATTGATCATAACTTAAAGAACGTAAACTGTGATGATTATACATATATATATATATGCTTATTTCACATAGACACATTTATCACAAATTTTGCCATTGTTTAGAGACAAAGTGCCTGTGAAAAGTTCAGTCGTGGATATGAAAAGATTGATATATATTTTCAATGAAAGATGCAATAATCAGTTATTGATGCACTTATACCACATATAATTGATCTGAACTCATATTGTATCCATGATTATCTAATAAAATGTCATGTGCCTGTCAGTTTTTTTCCGTTTACTTTAATACCCGCCTACTGTTCGCCGAATACATTGATCCAAGATTAAATAATTATTCACTGTGATTTTGTTTTCAGATTAAGGATTATACCGATATTCATGTGATACAGCAAGGAGAAGAACGTAAACCAGTAAACGTGTTGGTCACTGCGATTTATTGCCAGTTTTCAAAAAATTCTCTCATAATCTTACAATTGTACAAAATAAAAAAGAAAACTTATAACTATATATAAACTTTCTCGAATGCATTGACATTTTTCCGTAGATCGTCATATTTATTATTTTAACAAATTTTTATTCTCTCGTATCCAATATAGTTTAAATCGATTCACTTCAATTTCGCGAAATAATTCGTTTAAATTTTTTACCTAAACTTTTTTTTTTAGCAACTACTTAAGAAGTATACAGATTACAATACACGCTGAATGAAAGAAGTATATACTACTAAAAATACTTTAAGTAGGTAGATCACATATAAAGGAAGAAATGTGATATTACGTTGCCAAAGAAACAAAATTAACAATCATATTTACTTCGGTATGGAATTACATAAGCCCTGTTTTATATCTTGTAACATTATGTAGAAAGATATAACGAATAGTGGAAGCGTAATTGTTGTTTTTGGTATACCATGATTATTATAATTATACGTTACTGTTAGTACCTAATATAGATACTAGATTAAACAGCTTTATCAGGAAAGAATGTTAACAATATTGTATCATACATAACTCATATAATCCTTTCTTACATAAAGTGACAATTTTTTCTCTGTACATTAAACAGTGTCTAAAACTTCTTAAAGCTGTAGCAATACTTCATAGAATATTTAAATACAATAGTGCTTCTGACTATTTGTAAATGTCTCAGAGTCATACAAAAAACTTTCAAATAGCTGCCTCTTTCCAGTAAAAGAGAAACATACAGCTAATTAAACTGTATAATTAAAAGCAAGTAGTAAGAAGACATTTTCAGTTATTATGGACAAGTTAGGAATACCGAATATAAATAGAACTACATTTATAAAACTATTTGTATGCAAGACAATGAATTATGATTCATTTATGCAGGTCCCTGGAAGTATTAACTATACAAGTAAAATGTACTTTTTATATACATAACAAACACTTTTCTATAAATATCGAGTAGTATTTAAATAATTCTGAAATTTGTAAGTAATTTCAAAGTAGCGAAGATTTTCGACGCATTTGTTAATTAACTCTTATCCAAGAGTCAATTGCACTCTATAAGTGCGTACATCGTGTTTACTTCTTTTAGTACATCAAGAAGTAATTAGTCTTTTATACTGTTCATTTGTTCATACAATACTTCATATTTTGTAGCTTGCATTTTCGATGTAAGTTATCATCAATTCCGTTTGTATGAATTCATTTAAATTACAAAGTATGTAAATCATAAATTATTCCGTTCTCAGAGCAGCTAATCGTATGCTGATATTATTTATATACTTAATAAAATTACATTTATCTAGTAATAGCTTTAGCTTGTTGTGCTTTGTACATTTTTAAGACTTTCTTACTTGGTACTAAGGATTGACTTAATCCTGGCCTTTTTTTACGTTTATTCATTTGGTTATTTTCTTGATCTACTTCGTCGTCGTCGTTTATAGCCACTTGACCATTATACTGAGTCTGGCATATAATTGTTTCTTGCGGTGCTCGAATTGCTTCTAATTCAGCTGCTGTACGGTGTAAATCAGAATCGTGAGCAAAGGTACAGTTATGACCAAAACGACACCTGCCCTTTCTGTAATTCCAACAGATCTTTCTACCATTTATCATTTTCGTATCGTCTAGAGTTGGAGTCATTTTTACATGTTTTTCAAGAATTGCACTCTTTGCTTTTTCCGCTTCAACAAACGGATTTGAGAAGACTGAAGTTTTCATGGTGGGTATGCCATTAAAATCAGGGGTTGGCAATGGAAGTTTCTCTTTGGAAGCTGTTTTATTTGGTACACCTTCGTTATTTTCATTATTCTCTTCGTCGTCGTCTTCCTCCTCCTCCTCTTCTTCTTCTTCATCCTTGAAACTAAGGGTTAGGCAATATCAGATTACAAAGAACAAGTTCAATCTTACGTGTAAACGCCAACTGTGTCTTAATATATTCATGCCAATGTAAACGTAAAAAATAATAATACATACTTGTACTGGTTAGATTATCTTTGTAAAGTTACATATTAAACAATGTTATGCGCGGCGTCCACTGTTCGAATCACTTATGCAAATAAAGTTGTTGCAAAAAGGGAAAATTATCAAATGACAAAAGTCGATGGTGTTACGTAAAAAATAAAGGGGTTTAACATTTAAAAGGCCGTACGCATCTACGATGATTTTCGTTTCACGAAGTGCTTGTACAAACGTGGCAAATATAACGCATCGCAAAAAACAACGCACGACTACATGACATACGTTACTAAGAGAAGAATTCGATAGTAACTCGCTTTGGAACATAAAATTATTTTAATTGTGAAAGGTTATATGAACAAGAAAAACAAACAACGAAGCATACAAGCTTCCGTAGGTGAAAGCTTACGTGTTATCGGCACTGTCCAAAACATCGTCGCCGCTACTTTCCGAACTCGAGGAAGTTCCATAATCCGCAACCAAGGAAGCCATCGTTCTTACACAATTAATTAACAATATACCTTAACAAACACTAATCTAATATAACCATTATGAACTGTTATGCTACTAACCATACTAAGAAAACATGGCAACGTTGCAATCAGACGTCACCGGAAGTGAATAACGACATTGTTATATTTTCAAAATTCGCGGCAATCATAAGTATCGTCGGTTCAATGTCCGAAACTGAATCAAAACAGGTCTATTTCGATTAAATTTGTCGATATGATAGTATATTTTTGTGATAATAATTTTGCATTTATCTAATACTTTTGCAATATATTATAAATACCGCAGTTAAGTACCGCCGTAAAGTACGTATTTATCTAGTTCGCAAATAGTAATTTAAAACACAGATAATAGTAAACAAAATATTTATTATTAAGAACATAGCATGCCGCTGTCGCTTATCGTTAATGTACATGATAGATTTTCTTCTAATTGGAAGCTGTGCCAGGTGCAAATTTTTCTCCTGTCAAGTCCTATTTTTGTAATTAATAATCTTGTGTTAGGAACACCTGCCCAATACTTTCCTAATGTTGGAGTCACGTCATTCCGATTCTTACTTGCACCTGTACTAGTAGACTCATTTTTGGAATCAAGATTCCATTGAGTAATTAAGTTAACAGTAATAATCGATAAATGAAATTCATTAGCTAAAAAATGACATATATTTGCTATATGATTCAATGCAGTTGTTAATTTATGATCACTGGAAAACTTAAAAATTATTCCTGGTAAAGAATCAATGACTATAATCCTTGTGCGACGTGCTTCTATTTCTTCTTTTAAGGCAATCGTTAACCAACGTAACACTTTGAATAGTTGATGCAAATTGTATACATTGCATACTCTGATATGTTCCATAGCTTCATCTATAACCTGCAGTTAAAGTAGTTAAAGTAAAAGTCGTGTATTTTATATAATGTATATATATAATATGTTTTGAAATAGTAGTATTACGTAACAAACCAATTACAATACCTGGTCATTGCAATTTTTTCTTAACAAAATCTCTTTTATTCTTGAACCACAAAAATCTCTTTTTGTATCAATATATCGTATAAGACTGTTGGGTCTAAGAGCAACATTACTTGCAATTGTTAAACATAACTGTGTTTTTCCACTTGCAGATATGCCGCATACTTCATATATTTGACCAGGATATAAACCGCCCTTCAACAAGTTATCTAAACTGTTTTGTTGTTATTAATCATTATTAATTTTTCAACAAAATTAACTTCTGACTAAATAGTGTTTTCTTAAATACAATACCTTGGTAAATCGGTGGGAGTTATGTTGCTCATTTCAATTTTAAATAAATCAGTGGCACTTCTAATTACACCTCCATACTTTTTTAAAATATTTCGTCTAACATCGAGTATATCCTGTAAATGTAACCTTAAAATGATTACTTTATATTGTTCAATCCGATACTAAATTGCATTTTGAAATATACGTAGTTTAATTATTTTCTTATAACAAACTTGTACATTATACCTTAAGCGAGAGTCCTGAAAAGGTTGCCAATTTTTCGGAATTCTCGTCTATAAATTGACTAACGGTGCAAATGTGTTTACGTTGCAATTGTTCTATTACAGTAATTGATAACTTTGGATGTATATCTGAACTTAATTCTGTCATATCTGAGAGTTCGAATATTTCACTCGCTGCTCGTGAATTAAATATACAAAACTTTCATCCTGGTATTTAGTTTATACTTGAACCTTTAAAAAATAAACCAAACACAGAACCAATAGAACGCAAACTTCCGGAAAAAACAAAACTAACGAGTCCACCGATTTTATTTGAATTCACGAGATACGCACGAGAAGTTCGCACGGAAACGTAATTCAGCGTTTAAATATACGCAGAAAAATTTGCAATTGTTGAGAAAAACGGCGACGAACGAAAATGTTTATCTTCGGTCATTCGTTATAAGTAGCAATTTCAAATCATTATCGCGCATACTACGTAGATCAATGTAAATATAGCAGTGTACCCAAAAGATGATGCGCCGAGTACCGAAATGACCCCAGCGTCATTCTTACGATTGTACGTATCACATGCGGACACCTCGTTTAGGACAGTAGAATCGGGCAGGACGAGAAAAAAAGTGTAAATTCTAGTACAACGATTTTTCTACTTGTTACTTCGGTATGATTCATTTGGAATTCGTCGCAGATACGATCGCGTTTTTCTCTGTGAAAACTTATAGAGAGTTTATCATTGCGTTTAAAAATGTGTTCGGCACACGTTGTCCCGTAAGACCTCGCGCATGTGTTCGCTATCGTGATACTAATTCGTTCGAATTTGGCTAGAAACTACGCATTAATGTCGGGACAAGAAGTATCGCTATAAGAAGGTCAACGAAAGAGTGAGTAGAAACCTTATTCTTCCTGTTTTAATGTCGCCTACTTTTTTTTCTTACAAACCTCGACATATGTAGTGGCGTGAATTACACGTGGTACGATTAAGCATGCATACCGTGGCAACCATGTTGTGCTTGGTATGAAATTTAATTGGAATCAAGGTGTATTATATATGTATATAATATATATACATATACTTTTTTTTTTGTTGATAAATTGTTCTATGATAATTTTCGAATTTCGTCCATCGAGGACAAAAAAATTCATTGTAGAACAGATTCACTGTACAAGTTTGATAAGAGTTACATCATTTAGGCATACAAATATTTAAGGATAATTTTTATTTGATGGAATCATTGGTAATATACAAAGCAAAGTGGTACTATGTATGATTATAATCATTATAAATGTAATATTGGGTGAAGCACGTGGTCGCTGTAGGTACAATCGTAAATATTCAAAGAAATGTGTATAATATATAGTTTCACGGTATCGTTTCGCTTTATAAATTGAATGGAAATATTTGGATAACTGTTTCATATCAGATACCAGAAATGTAAAGTGATGTAATGCTGCGTGTAATGTATGCCCATATTTGTCGGTCAAGCATCTAGAGCCTTATAGGAAGCATTACCACGAGGCTAACGATCTATTATTCTAAAGTGAAATTCCCGTATCGACGTTGCTAGTTTCGTATGAACGTTTATTTTATCCTCGATATTTCGAAAATTAATTGTTTAATAAATAATTACATCAAACGACACTTTTTCGTTTCGAAAAAATAAGTATTCTATGGATAAAATTCATGCGACGAAACGATATACCGTATTATTTATATTGGGCTGTCTGGAAAGTCCATGCCGATTATTAGTAGGCGGTACAGGTCTGATTATGTCGAAATGGCTGTAAACAAATAACGTGTATACATTCCTTAAAAGGTGGAAAAGTTGCGGAACAAAATGGTACATATATAATTCAATGAGTATACATCAAAATTCAAATTATGCCTTTGAATTTTTCTTAAAAATAGGCACGAACTTTCCGGACAACCCAATATATCGATAATATTAATGCGTACAACGATTTACGTGGCCACGTATTTCGTACAATTCCCGAGAATTCTACATTTGGAAATAATAATAGTTGCTGATTTGATTTGTTCGACGGAAAACCAGTCGTTTCAATATTTTTCCCAGTAACCAATCGGAAACGCTTGGTGCTGCCACGTTGCCGAGTATCCGGTTGGGGTCAGCCAATCGTAGAATTGGTGCCCAGTCGGAGCGGCATCTCTCCGTGGCTTGTGTAAACGCGAAGCAGCAAGCAGCACTCGGTCTGGCCGCGGTCGAAATTTGTCGGGAGCCGTCGCCATGTTTAGAAGTGTGTGCGTCCTTGAGCGAGTCGAGCGAAAATGTTCTGTAAAATATTAGATATAGCTCATGCACTGTACATTACGTGAGGTAGCTAATTGCAATTTAACGCTCGTCGATCACGGGTGTAACAATTATTTTCGTGGATGGCTCGCCTACGTCGCAGAATTTTGTGATTACATTATGGTAAGTCCGCCCTCCTATCAGACCAACGCCAACATGGCGGACGAAAAATTTCCTTTGTATCGCCGCGAGGCTCCACTGACGCAATTGTGAAAAATATATTTTCTCGTGTAACGATTCGGTTCGAGAGATCAGGGAAGCTGGTTTTATCGTCGAAATGCTTCGTTGATTGTCTGTCCCGACGATTGTTGTTACTATATCGAGATAAATTGACATTTTTCTAATAAGAAGACTCGACCGCCCCGAATGCTTGATATTAGACGTTCGCGTATTCGTCCCAATCTTTTGATATTTTAAATGACATCCCCCGTTTTATCGTTCGGTCGATCGTGACACGTTCTTTCCATTTCTGGCGTTGTATTTTTCAATCGGTTTTTTCTTCTGCGCAATACGCTTGTTTCACAAAATTCCAATGTGATGCATCAGTTGGATCGACGGAGAAATTTTGATTTCGGCGCTTTTTTCACAAATCAATTAACGTTCTCATTTCGACTCGGTGGGTTTACTGTACTCGAAACAACGGTAGATTGTACATATTTGTTCCAAAATAATATGATAAATTGTTTACATACCTTGAATAATTAGAAAAATAGAGCATCGTTAATAATTAGTGGAGTTACAGTTTGTTGTTTCTTATTTGTTTTTGTTTTCCAATTATCGCATTTATTTTTGCTTTTTATTTGTGAGTTATGTACGAGCTATTTTTTATATTGCTTTTCATTGTTTGCAACTCGAAGGCATCTTTAAATTCTTTCATTTTTGTTATTTTCTTTCAACCTGGTCTGTATTTGAACATAGTATATAACTTCTAAATAGAAATTGGTTTATAAACACAGAGCAAGTAATTGTTGTAAATATCTGTATTTCGCATTCTTCTTACTATACAGTTGTTGTAATATATTAAATCAAACTATGTAACGTCATTTTTAGTTTTGTTAATTAGAGTTGTTTCAGCACAATAGCTTTACATTATATTTTTATTTATATATATATATTTATAGAAACAAGTACTTTAAATTATATCCAACGTCAAATAATATATTTTTTAAATCAATGTTACAGTGTGATGTGTAATGAGTGATAAGCAGACTGCACCTACTTTGCCGCCCCTTAACGGGGGTGGAGGAAATAATGGGGGAAGCAATGGAGGTGCATCACAACAAACTGTTAGTTTGCAACAGGTTCTTGCCACTGCTCAAGGGCTTAATGTTCTCACTACTAGTGCTGGACAGCAGTTTGTTATTACTTCACAGGTTCCTGGCCTTACACAGGTATGTATATTTGAAATAAGTTGTTTCGATTTACATGTGTTTCATGTATCGTAGTACGTATTTGTTCTAATTTTGTTGCATTATTACAGGTCATACCGAGCAATGCAACAACAAATGCAAACATTCAACAAGTTGGTGTTACAAGAATTGTTAATATTAGTAGCACGCCCCCACGTGCGAGTCCCGTGGGAGTTGCAGGTGCGAGCAGTTCACCTCTTGCATCTCCCTCGCGCCAGAATTCACCGAAAGTTGTTTTAGCAACGTCTCCAAAACTTGTCAGAACTTCTATTGGAAATATGTTTGTCGCGCCAACGTCTCAAGTTTCGATGCAATCGCCGCCTGCAAGAAAAAAGTTAAAATTAACTGACTCCACCGAAAAACCTAGTGCGTGCGCAGACGAGTCGATGAGTTATAGAAGAAGAATTATGGAACACAAAATGAAACGAATGCGTGCAATAAGGGAGAAGTACGCCGAAAATGCATCGGAGCTATTCTTTCTTCATGCTGGAGGCAACGTGATGGATTTCCAAACTTGGAGAAAGAGGCCGCCGACGCCACAATATCTGCATTTTTTACGTCAACATAGATTAGATCCAGATGATGATGATGAGGATTTAACGGTGCCACTGCCAACAATATCAGAAATTCCAGTAACACCTATGGTGACAACAACTGTTTCCAATATAGTTCCTGTGAATCAGTGTACAGAAGTAACAATCTCTGGTATGAACGTTACTCCGGTTGCGGTATCCACAACGTTGCCTGCTGCAGTAGCTCAACTTAATCAACAAGGTAAGCATATCATTATTATATATATATATATATATTTGTAACTAAATTAATGATATTTATAAAACCATCTAATGGTAGTTCAAACCTAATAAGACAATGCAATTTTATATTTAGCACCAATTATTTTTCCTAGAGTACCAGGAGGCACCCATTATTTTTATTGTCACAAAAGATTAAACAATTAGGAGTAAAGGATAGTTTGTAATGGTACATAGAATATTAAAGCTTCGTATAAAAAGACTGAGCAGATTCTCATACATTTTTCATAGCTAACTATAACATTAGTTGTGTCCTTTTTTGTAACTATACACATGACAACATGGAAAAACAATTCAGGACATTAGGTTGCATTTTATATCAACTGTTTAATTAATTTGCGTAATAGGACACGTACCAGGTAGGCCTCAAGGGGGCCGCCATGGCATGGTATTTGCCTTCAGGGCAGCAATTCAATCTTCACCAGTCACCGTTCACCCTCCACCTACTTCTACTCTAGCACCCACGCTCATTATAGGTGATTACTGCAGGCTTATCATTTGGTGTTTAGATGCATTCATATTTTTGCGCAGACCTTGTTGAGTTTTGTAAACTTACTTGCAAAACCTTGCTATTATTATATACTAGTCCTGTTCGGTGCTTCTTGTGTGCAAAGTCAAACTGAGATCCAATCAAGCTTAAATCAATGTTAGCAGTTACTATAAGAATTAAGTTTTGTGGTACTGTTTACCAAGTAATTGCATTAGATAACATTATCAATAGGAAAGTTTATTACAGGTTTAACCGAATTAATGTATTATGGCCAGTCATTTTTTATGATCAAATGGTTTAATGCATGCCGCTTCTTAACTTATAAAATGGTCGTTATTTTTATTTAAGTAAAGTATACTAGGATACATCTTTTTGATAGTTAGTAGTTTTTAATTCTAATCATATAATCCCATGGTTCATCCTTACAGAGTGAGTATTTCTTTTATATTGATCATTATATACATCTTATCCATTATGATGCTACACCTTTATCGATATTTTAGAGTTTGTACTATCCCACAATCGACGGCTGGTTCAAATTATTTTGAAACAGTCCACTTATTGTGGGGAGATGAATTCACAGCATTTGTAGGGCTATACAGCAATATGCTTTTTGGCCCAAGGGCGCTGTTGATACAAGCATTTTAAACTTTTCAACTATAGTTGGTGTGATTTTTCGTAAAAGATAATTGTACTCATAGTGAATCGTCCTTTTCTTTTTTTTTCGTTACAGGTAGCGCACCAATAGTTCCAGGTTCACCAAAGCCTATAACAACAATAGCAGCAAGTACTGTAACAGATAAATTGTCTACAACAGCTACAACTGTTACAACAACAACCACTACTACTACTGTAACAATTATTCCTACTTCTACTTTAACTGTAACTACTACTACTACTACTACTACCACCACGGCAAAAACGTCTACCGCGCCTGTTGTTGCTCCTGCTCAGCCTGCTTTAAAAATCGTTAAGCTACCTTCCTCTAATGCGACTACATCATGTGATATCACGAATAATCAAGAACAAATTGTAGAAAAAGCGAAACAGGTACGATGATTTTTGTAAAGAACACGCTTGTACAACTGTTAAGAATTTGATAAGGTACACTAATCGATTCGTCGACTCAATTCTTAGGAAGCATACGTTATGCAGAGGATCGCCGAGCTCCAGCGCGAAGGGCTATGGTCAGAAAGAAGATTACCCAAGGTGCAGGAACCACCTCGTACGAAGGCTCATTGGGATTATTTATTGGAGGAGATGGTTTGGTTAGCCGCTGATTTTGCTCAAGAACGGAAGTGGAAAAAGGCTGCAGCAAAAAAGTGTGCGCGCATGGTACAGAAATATTTCCAAGAAAAAGCAATTCAAGCACAAAAAGCTGAAAAATCACAAGAATTGAGGTTAAAGAAGATCGCTGGATTTATTGCAAAAGAAATCAAAACGTTTTGGACTAATGTTGAAAAGGTAAGTCGTTTAAAAGTATGTTAATTGTGCGCTTGCTTGTATCGCAATTAAACACGCTACCCCACACTATTAAGCCGACATTTTTAATACAACCCAATTGGAAATGTGTGCTCGTTGTGGGAACAGAAAAGTCTGCTAATTGTGTATGGTTGTATTAATTATATAGATGCAATCAAAGAATTGACGCCGGACAATTATTTTATAACAATTAAACTATTTAATAATTGCTATTACGCGTACATGTATTTCACTCTTTCCTTTTTCTTAAAGCTGGTGGAATATAAGCAACAAACGAGGCTCGAAGAAAAAAGGAAACAGGCGTTAGATCAACATTTAAATTTTATTGTTGGGCAAACAGAAAAATATTCCACATGGCTAACAGAAGGACTTAATAAAACTGACGGTCCTCAAAGTATACCAGCTTCTATTAATAGTTCTCGAATATCTTCTCCAATCCCCCCTGGAAAATCTCATTCCGATGGTATGTCATAAAATTATTTACCGTATTGTTTCGATTATGTTGATACACGTGATACTATTTTAATACAGAGGACTTCCAACCAAACCAAAGTTCAGATGACGATGAAGAAACTATAGCTAAAGCGGAAGAGGAATTAAAGTCTGTAACGAATCATAAAGAGGAAGTTGAATTGTTAAAGAAAGAATCGGAAATACCATTAGAAGATCTCTTGAAAGATTTGCCACCCAACTACTTAGAAGATAGAAGTAAAAGCTTATCGCCTATGCCAAAAGAAGCTGCAGTAGAAGTATGTTTGCAAAATATTTCTTTAAAAATTAGTATTGATATTATTAACACGTAATAATCTTTTAAATAGGAAAATGAAAAGACAACGGATGGAGATACAGATTTTGTTGCGGCATCGGACGAATCCTCGGATGAAGAAGAAACTATCATGGAACAGGAAAAATTAGAAGAAAATGCAGATTATAAACAAGAATTGGATGATCTCAAAGTATATATTAATTTCTTTTTAAATGTTACAAGAGAAAGGTATGAATCTTTTGTATACAGATTTCATTCTTCTAGGCTGAAAATGAAATGTCTATCGACGATCTTATGGCCAAATATGGCAATCTGCCGGATGTTCCAATGGATGTTGATCAGGATCCTGGTCAAGGTATGTAACATAAATTTATTATAATGAATTATTTTTCCGATCGATGTCGATATATCGCTGATGATACTTTTACCTATCCTGATGGATCGAGAAATGGTATTCATTTCTTCATTCCTATTTTTTTGATGTGACTCGAGGCATTTGTCTGAGATATCTAATCTATATGCAATGACACAGCGATAGTGAAAATTAACGACGAAAATAATCGTATAATATTATGCTTTTAGAATCGGACAAAGAAAGCATTAAAGAAGAAGAAGGACAAGAAAATGACGAAGAGTCTAGCAGTAATGAAAGTGAAAGTGAAGAAAGCGACAATGACGTGGGAGAACAAGAGTCTCAAACGCAAAGCGACAATGAAGCCGACATAGGGCTTAAATCTCTCCTTGAAGATATATCTATGGAGAAATCTTCGGTTGACAAGGTGAAATGATGTTTTTTACTTGGTTGTATTGTGTTGGTCGTATAAAGAGATTAATATATCTGTAATCTCTTGTAGACTGAAGACATGGATCACTCGCAAGCTCACAATGAAATGGATAACGTGGCAGCATTAGCAGAGAGTATTCAACCTAAGGGGAATACATTACTCACTACCAGCGTAAGTCATTTTAATGATCATTTTTTATTTAGCGAGATTTTCATGATCAAGTTAGCCTTTCAATCCAAGGTGGTGTAGCAGTAATTATTTGCGCATGATCATTTCTGAAAGGCAGAGTAAATGTGATGATTTTTGTCAAATAAACTAAATCAATGATTTATTTAAAAAAATCGCCACTACAATTTTTCTAAATTATACAAATTGAAATTAATTCTTAAATATCCCCTGATGAAACTTATCTCGTACTTCAGGTTGTTACGAAAATCCCATTTCTCTTGAAACACCTTCTTCGAGAATATCAACACATAGGACTAGATTGGCTTGTTACGATGTACGAGAGAAAATTGAATGGCATTTTGGCCGATGAAATGGGTTTGGGTAAAACCATACAAACGATTGCCTTGCTCGCACATTTGGCGTGCGAGAAAGGTAATTGGGGCCCGCATCTTGTAATAGTGCCAACGTCCGTGATGCTTAATTGGGAAATGGAATGTAAAAAATGGTGTCCTGGTTTTAAGATCTTGACTTATTACGGAACACAAAAAGAAAGAAAGCAGAAAAGAACAGGTGATAATTCGTTGCTTTGTTTATATACAAGGTAAATAGGAAATACAGTTGCGTTATATTTTATATTTTCTTCTTAGGTTGGACGAAACCCAATGCGTTTCACATATGTATTACGTCGTATAAGTTGGTTATACAGGATCATCAAAGTTTTAGACGGAAAAAGTGGAAATACTTGATATTGGACGAAGCTCAAAATATTAAAAATTTTAAGTCACAGAGGTGGCAGTTATTATTGAATTTTCAAACACAAAGGTACATATTTCAAATTCTATCGAAAGATTTATATATATTTGTTATGAGTATTATTTCACGCAGACTTTGAATTATTTTGTACAGGCGATTATTACTTACCGGTACACCTCTTCAGAATAATTTGATGGAGCTGTGGTCTCTGATGCATTTTTTAATGCCAAATGTATTTCAGTCGCATAGAGAATTTAAGGAATGGTTTAGCAACCCTGTTACAGGCATGATAGAAGGAAACAGCGAATATAATGAGAACATTATTCGTCGTCTGCATAAGGTCTGTACGTAGTTTGTTCTTGAAATTTATGTCTTGAAATATTCATCTACTCGCTACCGACCCAGACACGAGACTTTGTGTTACGTGTCTGTTTAATATAAATAGCGAGATATTAAACAAATTCTCTGTTAAAACTCGCGTGTCAATATATATATATACATGGTATGACATACGAATCCTGTCTGGAGAAACAAAATTTTAACATAACTCCATTAGTATTTTTTTTTCTCAAGAGTTGTCTTAGCTTTTCATTTATATAGTGATTATATTTTTTGCAGGTTTTACGGCCTTTTTTATTACGGAGATTAAAAACAGAAGTGGAAAAACAATTACCCAAAAAATACGAACACGTTATTATGTGCCGTTTGTCGAAACGGCAGCGATATCTGTACGATGATTTTATGTCTAGAGCAAAGTACGCGTTACACTTTTTATCTTTTCAAAACACTCAAAAACATTTTTTCGTACAGTCTGTAATTGTTTCTTACATTTTCTTTCAGAACAAAAGAGACCCTGGCTAGTGGTAATCTACTAAGCGTCATTAACGTATTAATGCAATTGCGGAAAGTTTGCAATCACCCGAACTTATTCGAAGTGAGACCTACAGTGTCGCCGTTCCAAATGGAGGCTATTGAATTTGTTACAGCTTCTTTAATATGGAGTGCTCTTGATTACGATCCATTTAAGGTAGTAATTTGATGCTCCTCGTTTCCATTTAGGGTACTTATAATTTTAAGAAACAAAAAGAAAAATGTGTTTATCTTGCAGCATATCGATTTATCTAGTATTAATCTTTTACTATGCGATTTGGAGTTTACCCTTACTGCATTTGCGGCACATAGAGTAAGACGATTGCAGACGCCACGAAAGCTAATAGAAGAAATAGACAGTCAACCGAATCCACCTCCGAGATGTCCATCTGGAAAAATTAAGATTAACGTTAGATTGTCTAATCAAGTTAAACCATCTACTACGCCTCAGCAGACTCAAACAAAATTAAAGAATTTCGCTGGAATATTGCCTACTCCAAGAGTTGGAACGTCACCCTTATTGAAAACAATAAATAATCAAAGCACACCAGGACAAGGTAATTGATAATGACATCTGTAATTGATTTCTCGTGATCTTACCATCCATTTATTATTGATTGTAGGTGTCACTTTGAGAGTAGCTGGTGGTCAACAATTACAAGGATATTCCGTACAATTGGTGCAGCATCAGGGTAGCGTAAAAGGTAAATAACCTCTTTCTTATCTTGCAGCTTTTTTCACACTTATATGTTACATTTATTTTTAAAATTTTAAACCCTTTGCATCATCGATCAGTGGTTGCACTCAAACTATCACCGTGTAATCATTCTTGCAATGGTGCTAGAGAAAATGATCTTGGGCCAGCTTGTTTATAGTCTCCCCATATTATAGGCATTCTAGAACCGAGAGCACATTAACAAAAACTTACATTTCATAATTATGTATCATTTGTAAGTCACAATTTGTGTAAAAAAAAAAAGAAATGTTTGTTGTGTTTGCTTCGAAAATAGCCATCCCTGTTGGAACACTAGCACATAACCCACAAAGTACAACAGTGACACCAACTACAGCAGCAACGAATGCACAGAGGATTACAGTAGCGAATGCAAATATCAGAGATGGACTGCAACGGCTAGCCACGCAGACAGTCACAGTTAAACAAGGTGATTCCGTCCAAAGAATAGCAGTGCCTAGTTTTGCACAGCTGGTTCAAACATCTACTGGTAGACATATCATTCTGACTTCGAATCAGCAAAACACTAACACAGGTTTGTCCCATGAGTGCTCGTACCCTACTGACCCCCATTTGTGATTCATTTATAACGCAATGTGAACCTACCCGATTCCTCTTTCGTGTTATTTTTTTTTATGCACATTTATATGGCTGTTGTTAAAAGTAATAACCCGTTCAAAAAATAATACAAGATGCATGCCTATCAATAATTGTTTCCTTATGTTTGTGAAGAAAACCCGCTATCATAATTCTAAAACGTATATAGTTGGCATATAAACTCAAATTTTAATAACAATATCTAATAGCTTTCTGTATTTGCAGTTTCGTTTCCGGTAATGACTCCAAGCGGACAACGTTTAACAGTTTTATCGAAGTCTTTGATGGGCCTATCTACCTCTGCAACCGCAGTTAACAAAGTTGTAGGAGGAGTAGTAACAACAACAAGTGGAACAAGTGGAAGACCCGTAATGAGGGTACCGCCTCTAAATGTTACTGCTTCTCAGGTGCAGTCCCCTGCTGGCAATGGACAATCGCCGCAACAATCGATTCGTTGTGGTATTGTCACCAGACACGCACAAAAGGAATCTGAAAAGGCACAAATGAAAGAACGTCCAAAGTCTGAGTTTTATTTGGTAATTATTTCATTTAACTCTACCTACCGTACTTCGAATATATGTACGTAGATACTTGATCGATGTATTACTATCTCCTATCATCTATTCACGAGTTTATGACATTTTTTATAGCCACAATTGGAAGAAGAACGTAAACAAAGGAGACAAGACAAACTCCGTCTTCTTGCGAAAATCAACGAAAGAAGATGCGCGGCATGTCCTCTGTACGGTGAAGATTTGTTTATGGCATTGCGTATTGGAAAACCGTCTACAGCATGTCGATGGCATAATGGTTGGGTCCACTGTTCCACTGCTAAAGAGAATCCGCGTACGCGAAGACAATTTTTTTCCCGCACAGAGGCGCTCGCAGAGGCGATTAACAGTACAGAACAAATCGTCGAAGAGCTTAAAGAAGTTTTCGAAAGGTACGTTTATAAATAAGAATATGAAAATTGTTGTATTAGTTTCAATAATTTTTTGCTTAGATTACGTGTAATGTAACGTATCGTTATAGGTTCGTTGTTCATGTTCCTGCTGTGTGCGCACCCTCGCCACGTTTTCATGTTTCTCATCCACCTCCACATAAATTGTTCGGTCAACGACGTATGCAAATGGAAATGCAACGTCAACTGTCGCCGAAATTTGCATTGTTTCATCCAGTAACTAGCGCAATGATGACTCAGTTCCCCGATCCCAGATTAATACAGTACGACTGCGGGAAACTGCAAGCCTTGGATCGACTTCTCAGAAAGCTTAAGTCTGAAAATCATAGAGTTTTAATTTTTACACAAATGACAAGAATGTTGGACGTACTGGAAGCTTTTCTTAATTTCCATGGCCATATATATTTGCGTTTAGATGGTACTACCAGGGTAGATCAACGACAGGTAATAATCGGTTGCTAACATTTTCATCATTTTATTTGTACATCTTGTTTTTGTTATTTCTAACATGTTTCGTTTTGATACAAAAATACAGGTTTTGATGGAGAGATTTAATGGCGACAAGCGAATATTTTGTTTCATTTTGTCGACAAGATCCGGAGGTGTGGGTGTGAATCTTACAGGAGCGGACACCGTCATATTTTACGACAGTGATTGGAATCCCACGATGGATGCCCAAGCGCAAGATAGATGTCATAGAATAGGTCAAACGCGGGATGTACATATCTACAGGTATGTAACAAAAATTCAGCACAAGCAATTTTTTTAGGGCAAGGCATTCGATATATTAACGAATGTACGTATATTAAATTACTATACGTGTTGCATTTATATTTCAGGCTAGTAAGTGAAAAGACCGTGGAAGAAAATATCCTGAAGAAGGCTAATCAAAAGAGACTGCTCGGAGACTTAGCTATCGAGGGTGGTAACTTCACAACTGCTTACTTCAAGAGCGTGAGTGTAATAATTATTCAAAATATAAAAAAAAAGACCTTTTTAAGGAGATCTTTTAATTTAGAACTTCAAAGAGAAGAGTCACAATTTAATTGATTTTGAAGAATCATTTTTATTAACATTTTTACAGTCGACGATTCAAGATCTCTTTAACATCGATCAAACCGAGAATGACGCAACCGCGCGAATGGCTGAAGTGTTGGATCAGAATCGAGATCGAGAGAAATTTCTACAAAAGGACGCACCAGGACTGCCTCAGAGTACAGAGGACAAAGTGGCAATGGGAGCACTGGAAAGTGCTCTCGCTGCCGCTGAAGAGGACCTCGACGTTCAAGCTGCGAGGACTGCCAAAGCAGAGGCTGTCGCTGATTTGGCGGAATTCGACGAGAATATACCTTTGGAAGATGGGGAAAGGGACGATATGCAAGTCAGCAAGGCTGAGCTTGAAGTACAAAATTTGGTATCTCAGGTAAGACAATGTTAATATTCAGGGCCGTATGTGTACGTTTTGTACGTAAAGCTCCATCGAGTCTAGGTGGTTCGTATGGAAACATTTACTAAAAATGTTCTGTTTTCCAATCAGCTCACGCCCATCGAACGTTACGCGATGAAGTTTGTCGAGGAGTCGGAGGGTGCTTTCTCCGCAGCACAACTCGCAGCAGCGGAACGCGAGCTGGAGGAACAGAAGAAAGAGTGGGAGTTGGATCGACTGCGAGCGTTACGTGAGGAGGAAGAGAGGCGAATGCGGTTGGTCGACGACGACGAGAAACCGTTGACGTTCGGACGCGAGGATGCGCAGAATCAGGTTAATAGTGCTAGTAATTCTAAGAAATTAGTCAGTAAGAGACTCCCGCCGAATAGAAGGAGGAGGAGGAGGTCGCGTAGGAATAATAGTAAAAGTGCTCAGGAATCGGATAGTGAATCCGAAACCACCACGGAATCGGAATCAGAGTCTCAAGAAGATGTTGTGGAAGATAGTCTCGACGAGGAATCGAGTCACACCGAGAGTCAGAGTCAGGGCGACGAGGATGATGAGGATGAAGAAGAAGAAGAAGAAGAAGAAGAGGAGGAGGAGGAGGAGGAGGAGGAGGAGGAAGAGGAAGAGGATGAGGCGAACGATCGAAACGATTCCGAGCGTGGTGGTTATCGTAAACGTAAAAACCGTTCGAACAAATCGTTCAGTCAGAATCACTTTGATCTCAACAGTCCGAGAACGAGATCCAGGGGCAACGTCAAGATTAATCTGTGGACGTTGGACGTGAGTCCAATTTTACCAGGCGTAAAACCTAAGGGTCGTGGCAGACCTCGAAAAATCCGGAAGCAACGGGACCTCGATATGGAAATGAAAGCTGGAGAGAGCTTTGTTTTGCCTTTACCGCCGACCTCGAGCCCTAAGAAATCAATCAACCCGAATACGTCAAATAAGGTGGACGACGAACACTCCACGACTCCAAAAGTGTCGACTCTAGACACGGAGAGAAGCAAACTCCTTTCGCCTACCAAGGGGTCGATCGAAAACGTTGATAATTGCAAAACCGTTTCGAATCATTGCAGAAAACTTAGGAAGAGCACAGACGCGAAGGAGGATCTTAATTCTGTTACAAGTTTAGATTGTTTAGACGCGGAAACGTGTTTTCGATCGGACGATTCGGCTTCTAGCAGTATGTCGGAGCAACGTAAAACGTCGGAATCGAGTGAGACAGATACGAAAGTCGATGGTGACGCGATATGCGATCGAGTAGACAAATCTTCGGTATGTATCGCGCAGTCGGTACACAAATCAACATCGCAGTGCAACAATCTTGGAAACGATGTACCTCGCAACGAAAATATCGAACATCTTGATACCAGCGTTACTTCGCCGAGTCGTAACTCTTACTCGTCCGTGATAGAGTCGGGTACTTTGAAAATGATCTCCGATTCCGAACTAACAGAAGAAATCAACGTATCGGAATATTCGTTGACCGCTTCCTTGAAGAGCGAGATAGTCGTCCAACACGCGGAAGAAGCTACAGAGAAATTGGATTCCGTTTCCGAGAATATCAAACCTGTTACGGAGAAGAACGAACGTTTGAAAGGGGAACGATCGGAAGGCGAGGATGAAAATAATCCAAAGAACAACACAAGGACACGAAGTCAGGCCAAGGCGAACGAAAACGGAAACTTAGAACAACCGTTGTCGAGTAAGGAACGATCGGACGATAGTGTTTCAAATTCCCCTAAGGAACGCGCATCCATTTCTGTGATAAAAACAAGCTCTAGTCAGGAGGTCGGTAGCAAAGAGGAAAAAAGCAGTAAATTAGACGAAGACAACGACAATAAATTACCAACCTCTTCTACGAACGATCCCGATTCGTGCGACTCGGCAGAGTCCGATCTGAACGAAGAAGGCAATCTCAAGTTTCGCAAACCTGACTCATCCTACAGTATAACTACTAGACGCGCGAAAACCATCGCCACGGAAAACTCTGAAAACAAAGATTCGGTCACGCAGGTATCGTCGAGTGAGTCGAAGAAGAATCAAGAAAGCGAAATTTCGAATGTAAACGTCACGCGCAAGGATATAAATAAAATAGCATCGATAAGGAGACCAGATACACCTAGGCCTACCGTGGAGCACGGCAGAATTACGAGGTCGAGCGTAGGTCGTTCTCTGACACCTCCGCCTAGCAGTCCCACGAAATCTTTACACAGGAAACCACCGGACCCTCCTTTTCCCGAGTGCTTCAAATCTTCCCCGCGGCCAGTGACGAGGTCGTCGACTATGAATTCACCGTTGCGAAACGAAGAACAAAGTACGGTGTCGTCGTACGAGAAACCAACCACGCGCAGTTCGAAATCCTTGGATAACGGCTTCGTGAATCCCGTCCTACCGTTCCGTAGAAGCAGCTCTATACCGCCGATGAAACCCGTGTCTGAAACAAAAGACGGTAGCCCCGTTGCGACTAGGTCGAAGAGGACCAGTGAATCCTCGAGCGTAAACGTAAGTGTCTCGAGAAGGCGACCGGACACACCAGTTCCTACTTTCGAACAAATGTCGAGAGTCACGCGATCTGGCTTAAGTTTCACTATGAATTCGGGGAAGTCGAGTTTCAACCACGCGCCTTCGCACAGAGGAGGCAGACACGCCCGGAAGGTGGACTCTTCTAGCGATTCGAAGACGCAGGATTCACCTGTTTCGCCCAAGAACACCGATTCGAACGGGAACGCCGTTGCTTCGGAGGACTTTACGAAACAGGACGACCCCATTTATGGAGAAGGAAACGAGAAGCCGCAACGGACGGCTAAGGTAGTAGCGATCCTTACTTTGGACACTAGAAACAATCACAGTAGCAAAGCGTCCAGTTCCGTTCACGGAAAGTCTTCTAACTCCAGTGCCGCCGAAACGAAAAACACTAAGAAGCACGAGTCGAATTCCAACGTTCCCGAATCACCGGGGAAGAACTGTCTGATGCGAATTTCCGACGTGACTTCCAATTGTAAATTAGACGGATGGTGTGGCCCCGGACTGGAGACTAGCTCTCGAGGTAATCGCGTAGCTTCCACCGTGCTCTCGAACTCGGCAAGTACTTACACGAACTCCGCCAAGGCTGGCAAAGCGTCGAATTCGAAACATAAAACTGACAAAGTTTCGTTGCCTGTGCAGTCGACGGTGATCGCGTTGGTCGATCTGGACAACGATCCTAATTACGACTCGCCGGACGGCTCGCAACGATTGAGAAGGAAAATAAAACGGACACGATTAACGTCGTCGCAGATAGTCGAGGCGCTGGAAGAAGAAGAGGAACAGATACCACCGTCGAAGAAGTCCGTTCGTTCTCAGCTACCGCCTCCACCGCCTCCTCCTTCGCAGACGGCTCAATTGGAAAAGATAAGCAGCGGCAGCGTATCTTGAGTCTCGTTGAAATTTTATCGCTGCGACATGTAGCAGCGAGTTTGTATAAATATTCCTCGACGCGATTCGAAGGCGCGCGGATGCCATTTTTGGCTGCGCGTGTAAAATCCAAGTTATCGAATTTTTTTTGTTTTCTTTTCGCGAGAGGGAACACCACTTTTTGGAACCGAGAAAGGTGCTATTCAAGGGTTTATTTTTCTTCTTTTGTTCTTCTTTGTATAAGACGAAATGACGTCTAATATGAATGTTTTAATAACGTATATTTGAAAGTATACAGGAGGCAAGAGAGTTGCGTCGAAGTCATAGGAACACCAGCGTGTTAAGGTTCCTTTTCGCGTGACGTTGAGTCACGACTTCTAACTGTACATTTTTTCCATTTTGTAAGCTATTTTTTACACGAACAATTTACTTGAAAACGTTAAGAGTTAATAGCTGTTAACAGGCATGATAGACCCAGGAAAAACACGAGACAATCGACATGTTGTTCACTGGCAAGTGTTATTGTGTAAAACTCTTTACCGAGTATTACGAACAGCTGGCAGCACTGGTGTTTTTCTTATACTTTGAACAACAACAAAATTAATTTCATTTCCTAGTCACACGGCGAGGTGAATTTCTCTGGTCCTGATGGTTAAATTTGAACGAAGCTAGAATCTTTAAGAGCTCATACGAATGTCAGTATCGCTACACGTATGGATTTTTAAAATATTGATTCATTCGAGAACGGTAGACTTTTTCAGCAAAAAAAAAACTGTAAATTTTAGAGGAAAAGATCGATAACCGTTTTTTGAAGTTTTATTTACTTTTAAAAGGAAAGTATTAAAAACAGAAAAGAGTCTGTACGCGGGAAGAATAGATTTGAAGAGTCGAGTTTCAAGATGAACGTGTTAAACCGGGGGTCTCCTGTTCGAGCGTCTGAACGCGCTTCGCAGAGAATGTATCTTTGTTATTACTTTAAATTTTGCCCGGATATTTGCGAACAGTATTTTTACATTATTCAATTTTAAGAAAACGAATGAGTCCATTTTTCGAAATAGCAAAGGTGATGTTCCCTCTCGATTTTCACACGATCCTCTTGTATATAATACGCATTAACGAGGGAAAGATAATCGATGGAAAAAGTGAGACTTCTTTTCTTTGTACCGAGTACACGCGTGTAATATTTTTAGCATTGTAAATTTGTGCTCTCCCGTAAAGGTTTTCCTGAACGCCTTTAAGCGACATTGTAATTTATACTTGGTAATAAGAAAAAGGAAGGGAGAATTAAGACACATCCGCGGTTGTATAATATTAGGGATAGTAACGAGAATTCAAACAGACAAATACACACACAATACAAACAAACAAACAAACAAACAAACACACATTAATAGCTTAGTTCGTTAGTGACGTTGCAAAGAATGATCGCTAGTATGCGATCGTTTTTGCGACGATCGATCGTATAAGAGAAAACAGAAAGTGGAGTAATAGACAGAGTCGATTCGGATATAACGGAAACAGTAAAACAAAACGAAAAAAAAAAAAAAGAAAAAATGCAGTAATACTGCGAAACGCGCCGTACTTTGCTCTCGTGTAACGCTTTGTACATTACATAACTCGCAAGGTGACGACCTGATTACATGCCTAGACTTAAGGAGTTAATCGTTTAATGGTATGCCACCCACCACCCGCCCCCGCCCCCGCCCCCGCCCTCCCCGCCCGACACTGTAATATTTAAGTTGCGTGCCTGTATTTTGTATGATCGAGTGAGTCCGAGGAAGGAAATAAACAAAAATTATTCCTTGCTACGAAAAACGATGTGTTTTCTTATTTCTTGGTGCGTTTCCAAGTCTGTTCGATCAAAGGTTCAGTTTCGTTTTGGTGTCAAATTTTGCTCAGTGTGCTTGGTTATATATTTACACAGTTACGTCGAGATCATCGAAACGAACGACGATCTTGCGTTTCTCGCGATATATGTTTGGTGTGGCAAGGCTAACATGACCGCACATTAAATAGAAGAAAAATATAGAGAAAGAGTTTTTTTGCAAACTTTGATATATGATACACGTAGCATGCAGTAGAAAGCTCCAATAATTATTTCGAAAATGGCACCAAAACACTGCCTTTGCCATTCCAAACTTGGAGTCAGCCAAGGTATAAGCAGGCACATTAATGAGCGTATTGCGCGACATTCTCAAGTCGAAGCGAGTAGAGTTAAAGTATTTATGCGAGATGAAAGTAACGAGATGTTTAAAGAGAGACGAATGAGCCTTTGAACGAGCAGTGTTATGCACACTTCCTTTATTCACTTCCTAGACATTCCGAGAACGTTTCTTTACTCGGTTAACGTTGCATTTCTGTGATTTTATTTGCTTTGTAACGGAAGTATTACGAAGACGAAGAGGATGCCCCGATTCGTTAAAATGTCATTCGATCCTATTCGCATAACTAGAAATTACATATACAAGTGCGCACCACGCTCGTTCTTTGCAAACACTTTCTTTTAAGTCTTCTCGAAGCAGATTTTTTTACACTCAATCATCGAATTAGATCTGATAGTCGTGCTTTGATATCTTGCAGATATGGTTGTCGGACGACAATATGGAGCAAATGCCGGTTAGTATCGACGTTTATCTACTTATTAATTTCCATGTCTGGCGAGAAACACGATTGCATAATTATTTTAATTGTCAGATGTGGTGTCCACCAACGCCTCCAACCACGGATAACGATGTTTACATCGACTATTCTTTGGGATTCCTTTACGAAAACACTCCCATGTCGGAGGCTCAATTGCCTCCGGTATACATTAAGAAAGAACAAAAGAGAAGCAGAGTCGACGTTGGAGTTAGCGATCGCGATGGTAAGTAAAACTTAAACCGTACGTACGAGATTAAATCGTTCTTCTAACGATTGTGCAATAACAAGAGCTTTGTACGTATATTAAAATGCACGTTTTATGTGCAATAATTTAGAATTACGAACGAAGGACGCATCATTTTTCATGTGTTAAATAAAAATTCGAATTATAGATTATTATATTTACAAGTGAATAGTTAAGTAAATACGAGGCTCTGTTAATAATCGAGCGTAATTGATTTACCAGGACGGCGAGCTGTTAAAATGCGACACAAGGAGGAGTCTGTGTACGCGCCAAGATCTTTGTTTGATCGTCCTTCACCGGCGGTGATGAAGATGCGCCGTGATATGAAGTTGCACAAACATCGAATGGTTCGACAACCGATCCCAATGCCAGGCATAAAGCCTTCGCATATGTCGAAATCGTCAGTTGACCAAGAACACATTCTAGATTGGATGATACACGAGGATTGGGCGCTTCTTCAAGCAATTCAAATCTACCAAGGGCTGCCCCTGAATCTAATGATCTTGTCCCCTGGCCACACACCTAATTGGGATCTAGTCGCTGATATAGTTAACAATACTTCTCGAATATACAGGTCTCCGAAACAATGTAGAAGCAGATATGAATCGGTGATAGTACCCAGAGAAGAGGGGAAGTTGCTTTACGACACCACGCCGAAAAAACAAAAGAAACAAAAAGGTGTATACAAGATGCCTCAGGTGTCCGAGGTATATTACACAATTTTTATTGTACAATTCGAAGGGGGATGATATTGTTGGCAAGCGATGCTCATATATTTTAATCGTCTTCTTTTAGCAACAAAATAAAACGAAGGCAATGAAAACATCTCAGTTGTATAATCAGGATAAAAATCATTCGTTTACATTAATGTGCTGTCAAAGATTCGATACCATAAAATCTGTTTCTAATAAGAGAACACCCACTGTTAAACCGCTGCTCGTTAATCCGTTAATGAAAAACCCCACAAACGCTGCAGTTTTAGCCGAGTGCGGTATACAGTATGATAACCCGCTGGCTCCCATAGAAGTCGCAACACGACGCGCCGACAGGATAGCGAAGGAAAAATTGAAGCACGCTGTTAGTATACCGGAATATAGTATTTTATTGAATGTAATCTTCTCTAACTTATTATAGAATAAAATGTATTTTATATATTCAGGTTTTAACGGCTGAGCAACAACAAGTAGCCGCTCGCCTGCTACAACAACAACAACAGCAACAGCAGGCTCAACAACAACAACAACAGCAAATTAAACTACAGCAACAACAGGCCCAACAAACTGCATCGAGTACATCGAGTCCACAAGTGCATCAATTGACTCAGGTTGTTACCACGGTTGCGACAACTGGTCTGACTACGATGAAAACGGTTACAACAATGACTAATGTGACTACGTGCGGCACAACGGTCGCCACCTCAACGGTGAAAACTCGACCAGGGGGAACGTTGACGATGCAGGATGCTCGAACTACTCCGACCGTTGTTAGCGTCGCTAATCTTCAAGCTGCACAAAGAATCGCTACAGCGAGCTTGGTATCCGCTGCACAGAGTTCACCCACGGCTACGCAGAAGGGTATTGTTGGAGTCACTGTAGCAACTGCTTCCGGAAGTAAAACGCTAACTGCTGCACAGCTACAGTATTACAGGCAGCAACAGGTTCTGCTGCGACAGCAGCAAATGAAGGTATTGCAGGCACAAGCTGCGAGTGGTCAAAAAGTATCGGTGGCAGTTTCGGCCGCTGCTGCACAGCAAAGAGCGACGCTGATGAAGCAGGGTATAGCTGCTGGCACCGTTACGCAAGCGACCGTTGGAAAGTCAACGGTAGAAATGGCTGCTCTGATCAAACGACAAGCGTTGCAGCAACAAGCGAAAGCTGTAGCTCAGGTACAAGTGCCTGCGCAATCGGGTCTCACTCCGGCGCAAATATTCGCCCAAGCTGGATTACAAGTACAGCAAGCTGGAACATCGGCCGGTGGTACGCCAGTCGCTACTTTGGTGAAAGCTGCGAATGTTGCCGGAGTGCGTACAGGAACTCCTCAACAAATCCGACAGCTCGCTCTTCATCCTCAAATTATTACTCAGAGGAAGTTACCGGCGCAGAAAGTTGCGCAATTAACGCAAGTCGCTGGCAAAACTGGCGTTCAGACGCAGCTGATTGTGCAACAGAAATCTCTACCGGCGACCATGACTGTGCAACAAATTCAGCAAGTCATGAAGCATGTTCAACAGCAACCGTCGACGATGCAGCAGTTTACGCACGTACGTGTAGGTTTCTGTTGGTTTTTAATTTTATTCCAAGGTTCGACATCTCTTACATGATATTCGATTTCAGGTTTCTACGGGACAAACGGCTTCCCAACCTGGTCAAGTAGTGTTAGCAAAGTCTCCGTTGCAGACTCGTGTAATTCCTGTCGCGTCGGCGGGTTTGAAACAAACGATTCAGGTCGTGACCGCGAGCAGCGCTCAATTGCGACAAGCTGCGCCGGCTCAAGGGAAACCTGTCGTTACAACCGCGAGAGGCAGTCCCGGACCTAGTCAAGTTAGATTGCAGACTATCTCTCATCCTGTTCATCCTCAACAAATACAGCAGCAGCAGCAACAACAGCAATCGCAAACTCAACAAGACGCTCAACCGAAGTGAATGTGCTGCTTTACTACTACTACTTGAATAGATCAAGTATTACGAACTTCTTTTAAATTCTTGTTGCCGCGGTGAAACCACGTCGAATGAGAGATTTTATTTGACCGCTCTTAAAACAATGAGAACATTCCAAAAGATATTGCATGTATCTTCATTAAATCAGTTCAATTTTTATCCTAACCGTACCTTCGTATAGACGATAATACAACAGTGGCTACAATGCATGTGCAAATAATAATGCACGATGCTCTTCGCATCATGAAATAAATGCCCTTTCTGTTCATATACTGAAGCGTAACCATCTTTTCTACTTTAATTTTATCTGTGAGAGTGTGACGCATTAAACACAACGAGAACTATTTCATAGTTTGATCAGTATTGACGTCACCCGGTTTCTTTATTGTAGTATGTCGTCTCTCAAAATTTGCTGGCCGAATTTATATGTAATATTTGAATTACTTACAAGAACTCTGTCATACGTCACTATTTCGGAGGTATTATGAGATAATAGCATTACTGTAATGTTGTTGCAGCTTATGTCATATTTGTTTTTACCAAATGCCCATGACATTGGTAACTATTGCGAAGTTACATAATCGATGATACAACCTAATGGATAGTGTGCTGTTTATCATTCTGATTTCGTTAAAATTAGAGTCCGTTCGAGGTGTAATTATTCGCATCTTAGTACTTAACCGCAAAGCCAGATTCCCATTTATGTAAGTTCGGGCGGCGTGCATGAGCAACGTCCACTTGAAAGTGTCAACTCTTCGCGCAGGAAGGTCTGAAGGACCCAGGCGAGCTGGCACAGCGAGCCGCGACACCCAAACGAGCACGGAATACGTCAGCCTGTACAAATGGCTTGCTAGAAATAAACGGTGCCGATATTGAAATTGCTGACCGGCCAGTTACTTATTTCGGATCAGCTATGGTAATCTGCTTGTAGCTGTAAACTAATTAAGTTCAGCAAGAGTGTTCTTCTTCGGAATTGGACAGAACATCACATTCTCTCTCATTCGGCAGTAATAAAAGTTCTATGTATTTTTCAACTCTAATTCATGAACAAAACTTCCATCTTGTGTATTTACGTTTTTTACACTTTCAATTCAATCAATAGATATGAGTGACAAGTACATTCTTTCTTCCATGTATTGCGCTGCAATTATGGCATCTTGAACAAATACCGTTTAAATTTCCAGCAATAATTATTTATTGGGTGTTCGCTGGGCCAGCTCAAGCCTGGGTAAACATCGACCATTTCGTCGCATTCAGCGACCTTTTGCTCGCTAGTAGAAACATGTTTTCAAACAAAATCCGGCGAACAGTGACAATTTACGATCGAACGGGTACGCTACATAGATGGGAATCCGTCTCAAGATTTCGAGAAAATAAATTCATAGTACTAAACGATGCGATTCCGTTTCAGGAGTATGCATATCGGTTTTGATTTTAATATATTATTTCGCGTGAAACGATTAAATATTTCACAGATGATATCCTTGCGAAGTTCTGATTGCACAGCAAACTTATTTTTTCTTGACTTTGTAAGGACTAGAACGAAAACGACTTAGCCTCAAGGAATACGCTTAACCTATTGATACACGTAACTAAAGAAAAAAGTAACAGACGAAGATACGAATTGTATATGTATAGTTACCTGTAGGATTTAAAAATTTAATTCAATGATGCGGTGTTTATACTAGGACCTTTATCGAATTGTGTAAGATTGTACTAATAATATATATATAAATATGTATAATTCGTGTATCATAGACGCTAAAATAAATCTCTCGTAAGTAATTCTGAGCTCTTCACATCGTGCTGTGCATGCGAATAACATTTATTATTTAATTACAATTGTTTATACAATGAGTTAGCAAATAGATAGTACCTATTTTTATTACAAGTTAAGTTTATTCACGTTAAAATTATCAATATAATTATTGCAATGTCATGGATTTCAAAATGCACGATTATATTTTTTTTTCTCCAACGTGCATTATCTCTCTAAGTGATCTTTAAGTTGACCTCTGTACAAATGACGTATTATGATAAGTATGATACCAATATGATACGCCTCTTATCTATACTGTGGTACATTTGATAAATGAAAAACACTATTATAGATTAACCGAGTACAAAGCAACGTGATGTCCGAACTTATATAAGTGGCGTTTCCATTGCTGATATCAGTAGTGCGTGGAAGCTGGTATCATCTAGAACCATGTCAGTGTTCATCTTTATTTTAAAAGCACTTCGTGCGATCGCTGTCATCTGGGTGATCCTGTACCTTTACCTGAAATATGCACACACCTATTGGAAGAGACGGGGCGTCCCATCTCTTCCAGGACACTGGTTTTTTGGGAATGCGAAGGATGCACTCCTCATGCGCAAATCTCCTGCAACGGTGTTCGGTGATCTGTACCATCAAGCTTCCGAAGACGATGACATTCTGGGTATCTACATCGCGCACAAACCCTTCTTGGTCCTGAGGAATCCGAAACTGATCAAGCAAATCTTAATTAAGGATTTCAACTACTTCTCGGATCGATACTTTACGGCAAGATCCATCCACGATAAAATCGGAAGCTCGGCTCTCTTCACGATGAAGAATCCAGAATGGAAGTACTTAAGGTAAATAAAATGAAAAATATCGTTCAGAAAGAAATATTTCAATCGATGTACTGAACCCTTTCATATACTTTAACTCTTTTACTAGAGCGAAATTGACGCCCGTATTTACGAGCGGAAAAGTGAAGAACCTGTTCCCCTTGATAGTCCAAACGGCGGACTCGATGAAGAATTATTTGGAGAATCAATTCACAAACGGCACAAGAACGAATACATTGCCGGCAAGAGAGATTTCCTTAAAGTATACCACCGACATTATATCTTCCGTTGCTTTTGGAATTCAAGTGAATTCCTTCGATCCGTCTCAGGGCAAATTCTTTTCGAAAGGTACTCGCGCAAGGATATTACGATTGATTTACTGAAACCAATTTTACGAGCTCGATGTCGTCATTAATTTTGTTCGTTTAAAAGTTCAAGAGTCACTCCGTCTCACGGTACGACGAGGCCTACTATTTTTCTGCATGTTCTTCTTCCCGGCAATTTCGATGATCTTGGGAGGTCAAATGTTGGGTTCAGCTACGAATTACTTTCGTAAAGTATTTTGGGATTCCATGGATACTAGGGAGGTGACGAAATCGAAACGAGGAGACCTCATCGACTCCCTGATAGACCTGAAGAATGCCAAACAGGATAATGACTTCAGTTGGTGACGAAATGATTTTTCTTCTAAAATCTATCGTGTCAATTTCCCCGTAGAGATAACATACGATATTTGCAACTTGATTACAGAGTTTGAGGGTGATGCCTTGGTTGCTCAAGCGGGTATTTTCTTTGTTGCTGGCCGCGAATCCAGCTCGACAACGATAAGCTTTACACTCTCCGAACTCGCTAAGCATCCTGATATTCAGAAACGAGTGCGAGAAAATATCCTCGAGACGCTGGAAGCGCAGGGAATGACTTATGAAGCTGTTCAGAGTATGAAGTACCTTCACCAAGTGATATCTGAAGTTTTGAGACTTTATCCACCGGCTCCGCTCATCGATCGAGTGGCCGTTGAAGATTATAAGGTAAATATGGAAGGAAATCATGAATAATAATGCACGTGGTAGACGCGCGTGACCACCGTTTAAGAGCACATCCTTGACCATGACCAATAAGTTTACGCAACGATTGCTCGAATTACTTAATCAATTCATGTCACGAGACACATGCTTAGGATTCTTATTGTTAACTCAGACTGAATTGACATAAAGAGGCGATGTGAATATGACATTATATAAATTAGGACAAACAAGAATAATCTTGTTTCAATATTTCTTGGAAAATCTTGTGTGCCCATCTTTTGATATATGTCTATTTGAAGAATAACTACTCTTCTTTATAGATACCAGGAACAGATACGATTATAGAAAAAGGAACGCCTATTTACATACCTTTGTTTGGCCTTCAGCGTGATGCAAGGTATCATCCCGATCCTCTGACTTTCAATCCTGATAGATTCAGTGACGAAAATAAAGACAATATTACGCCATGTTCGTACATACCTTTCGGTGATGGTCCACGAATTTGTATTGGTACGAATGTTTTTTTATTAAAAAATATCCCTGGGGTAGTTAGTACATTTTCACTAATATTTATTAAAATGTTTTCAGCTCAGCGAGTCGGTCTATTGCAGTCTGTTGTGGCAGTAATTACGATACTTAAGGATTATGAAGTTTCATTAGACCCTACTGGTGATTACGAAATTGACCGCCGTAACATCTTCGTATCACCGTCAGATCGATTCAAATTGAAGTTTACAAAACTTTAATGTGCCATTCGATATTATAAAGTTTCTGTACAAAAGATTAAAAATATATGACAATCGGTGTTTTTTTTGCCATATATGGATGTAAATCTTTAAATGCTACCGTACAAAAAATACCATTATTTAGTAAAGTTTTATTTCGGTAACAGCGTTAGGTACTTCTTAAATTCCGGGATTACGCAATCTCGTGGATTTAATGGTATTTGCGCTGTGAGATAATCGCTCAAATACTGCGGCAGGAAACATAGGATACCTTTGTTCGCCAGCATTGCCCAATCGATCGGCTGGCTGACTTGCCTCACGTTCACGAAGCAATGAGTGATTTTCTTTCCCGTCGGACTTGTGTCGTACGGTGGTCTGAAACGATGAATGTAACGCGTATTTTTCTAGTATGACACGTTTATTGAGAAAACAGTAGTTTACCTTGCTTGAACAACTTTACCGCCTCCAGCTTCGATCAATCTCTTAAATTGATCGTACTTCTCTCCGGAAACTAATAGTAAAGCCACCATATTGTTAAATGCTCCGAGTGGTTCCTTTAATAACTGAAGCCTCCATCTGTAAGCAGCGGCTGCGATCATCACTTCGATTTCTCCCGATGGATCTGGTATGATACCTTTGCTTTTCGGATTCCCCCATTCATATTTTTCTTCCTACAAACAAAATGAATCTTTTTGTTGCAGGTAGTGATGCATTAGAGCTATCACTGCGAATAATACTAACATCAAGGAATTCGCCTTCCTGTTCCGAATCTCGGAGGTACATGCAATGTAGTACCCATTTTCCGGATGCTATACTGCCAAGCATTTTTTCGTTCCTTGCAGGTCTAAGGCAAAGCAAATGCGTCGCACTAATATCAAAATTAGCATCCACCGATACGTCGCCACCGAGGTCTCTTATCACTTGTTCGTACGATGTTCTGTCCTATAAAGAAAAATACGTTAATGAAGAATTAATGCAAAGTATATTTACGTATAACGACATACTTTTATCCCTGAAAGCATGAATTTCCGTTTTTTTGGAGGTTTGGGCTCTTCTGGCAATTCTTCTTCCATGTATGCTATAGAATGGTCGGGAGCCGTTCTCTCATTTTGCTCTTCGTGTATTGTCGTCTGCATATATATGCGTTATTACAATTAATCCATCTATAGTATTCAAAGTTACGAGAATTGAAATAAACAACTTACACGTCTGGAGTGACTTGGGTCTTCCCATACGATAGCATCGATAGGTTGAGAATCTTTTACGCTAACTGTAATAAAAAATAAATATTACAAAACCAAACAAAAGTAATAAAAAGATAAAGTAGACTTACATTTCTGTATGGGATCAGATGGCTCTGCGGTGTATGCGTTCGCATTTTCTCCAGAGAGAGAATATCTGTTCTCGGGTGTACTTGATGTCCTCTGGAGTACTTGATCTAATTGTGCAATTTGCCTATAATATATAATTCTTTATAGATAACTTTACTTATAAAACACTTCAAAGTCTTATGCATTAACTTACAGATTAATTTCATTATTTTGTAACGGACTATCTTCATGGAAGTCCAACTTTCGATTAATGGGAGTTGTACCAGTTACTTTACTGTCACTGTCACTATTCGATGCTTTCGGTGTGTCTATTGCTCGCCGATTGTCATCAGCAGGTGTTCTTTCATGCGCCTCATCCTGTTTTAAATAAACATTTTGAAGCATTCTTAAGTATTTAAACATATTATATAATTACATATCGAAAATTAGAAATATTTACTTCCAAATTATTGGCTTGATTTTTTAGCTTTTGCCACAATTGTCTTTTCAGCTCGGAAAGAGGCTGCAAATATAATCGTACAAAAATGAATTACACATGCATATATGGTAAAAGCTTCAAACAAAAAAAAAACGTACAGTGCTGGGCGGTCTCCTCTTTAAAGGAGGTTCCTCTACCCTTAGGTCTGGAAAATTGTCAGCCCATTTGACCCAAGCTTTTCGTGTCTCTGGCGAGGGATTTGGTTTGAATATCTGACCATATGGTGTTTCTGGTGTAGAGACATGGAATGGCGATTGTGGAGTTTTATTCATAAGTAAACTAAGCCTCTTATTTATTAGCGGCGTGTCACCGGAACTACCATCTTGGTTCTACAATTAGACTTGAATAAAACAACCCGTAATTTAAAATGTTTAGAAATAAACAAACGAAAAATACATACTTGTAGATGAGGAAAATGTCGTTTTGGTGTAATAATGTTTCTAATTGCTGGTTCAATCGGAGGAGTCATTTGACTTACATTGCTATTAGATAAACTTGTATCCGCTACGCAACTTTCGTGAGGTCTTTCCGGGGCTTAACAATCAAATACCATAAAATATTCATATGTATTTTGAAATGCACTGTAAATTCGAATGATTTAATTATCCAGTTTCATATACCCATGGTTTCTCCTACAAGGTATGGAGTTTCATCGACTCGTTTTAATTGAGCTGCACAAGCTTTTAACCACTCAGCGGTAACAGCCGGCAATTTCCACTTCACCGCCGCATTATACTTATTTCCTTCTGGCGTCGGACAAACTAAATGCGTGCTTCCGTAAGTATTTTTCTCAACATTGGTTTTACGTACAAAAATATCCTGACACCTAAAACCAATAACCTTTTAATAATCTATTTAACTTGATCGGTTAGTAGTATTAAAAATATAATACATTGCACCCAATTCCGTAGCTAAAGTCGCGAGGTATGTTCGTTCTACGCCAGTATACATGCTCATTGTAATAATACAGCCTGATAATGGATTCAAATGTTTCTTTATAGACAGTGGTCTATGGTAATACATAATGTCGACTATTAATTCTTGATTTAGACAGTCTTCCTATAAGAATGTTTCTGGTAATAGTGTATTTTAAAACATTAAGATTTTAAAAAGAAGCAGTGGTACTTACAATATACAACTCGGTAACGATTTCATTTACTGTATGTTTTAAAAGTGCACCACATTTTGGTACAACGGCATAATCAGGTATACCAGCAAACGTGCTCGAAACAACTGTTCCACCCATCGCTACGATAGTCCCGGCTATGTAACTTTCTTCATCGCTGAAGCCAGTTACGACAAACGTATGCCCTGTATATTATTTTACCTTATTATTTTTCGTAACGTCATATTATCATACATTTATTAAGAACACATATTACCTTCAAATAGTTTATCATTTATAGCTGTAGACTGACTGATCGGTACGGCACTATCATCAGCTGCATTTTTGCTCTGTGCTGTTTCAGACGCTAATGTGTTTTTTAACTGTTTTGCTTGACTCTTACAATCGGTATTTATAGTTTTCTCATTACTATCGTCTGGGACAGTTCTATGTGATTTTAACAAATCTTGCATTGTTGTATCATTTGCTGCAACTAATTTGGAAACAATGTGTAGATTACATATCCACATGTTTACAGTTATTATTTAGGAGGCTTACCGACTGTATCTTGAAGATATTGTTGGACGAGATCAGCTTCTTTCTCTTTTTCGAGCGTTGCCAATTTTTTGTCTATATCAAAAGATGGTATGGGGACCTTTCTCGGTTTTTGTAACATCTGTAAATTCTGAAAGATACGTGTAACATTAAAGTGTATACATTCGTTTTATTGACTTTGTTATATACTTACTCTTTTGCTTAATGGAGATGGTGGTTCTGGAACTGTTTCTGCTATGTTACATTTTCGTTGAAATAAGAAATTTTCTTCTGGCGCAGGTCGTTTTAATTTGATGCTCTCTTCTAACCATTCCAAACTTAATGTATACGGACTATAAAATATTTGTAATATTAAAATATAAAGTAATAAATGATTACGGTATTTGTCCATTATCATACCATAATCCTTTCGATTTCATTAATTTCAGATCGTTTGCCGCTCTATTTTCATCTCCGATGATAACGTGTGTTAAAGCGTCCGATATATCATCGAGTCGCGTTGCGCTACCAACGTTTAATATTTTGTTAAGCTTCTCCCTTTGACTAGAAGAAAACCCAGCAAGATAAATCTAAGAATAGTAAAGAAATTGATGTAAAAAAATATCATCTTGCAATATTTTTTATTTGTAAGCGAGAAAGCGAGTATTTAATTCACATACATTGCACCCATCTAAAAACGGACCAGCCGTTTTTGCTTCACCGAATGTGAGTCTGTCCAAAATCATAACTGTTCTGCCTAAAAATTTAGATTAGATTAGCATTAAATTTATTATTAGAAACGTTACTGCATTTCGTATGTTCGAGCACAAACCAGAAGAACTGTTGGGTACAAAGTCAAAATTGGATACACTACTCATTGTTGTTGTCATTAAACTTTCGTCTACACACTGACCAGGTTGCAGGTCTAATGTTATGGCACTTATTGTTGAGCAATTAAGAGTTTCATATCCTATTATAATTTAAAAAGTTATAGTATTAGTTGTCATCTTGTAATATTAATTATTGTAAGAATAAAATATTTTTACCACTCTGTCGCTCTGGAGTAGAACATGCTTTTAATGATTTTATTAAAAAATTTTTGAAAGGTAAAGCATAGTTAACTTTTATGCTTTCATACACCCAATTTGGAGTTAAACAGGCAATATTTGCTCGTTTTGCATATTTTAGTTTTTCGCTCACTGGGCTATTTTCAGGTGCAAGTACAACTTTCACTTTTGCACCATCTAAAGGGCCCATGAAAGTCTGAAAGGACAATAATATAAATGAATATTGAAATGGTGATGAACAAACTAACTTAAGGAAGTTATATTTTACCCCTCCATGATTATTGATTAATTGTTTGATTTCTTCTTTTTGACGTTTTGGAAGATTCGACGACGTTACAACTAAATTAAGGAAAACGGAAGCTTTGTATTTATCAAACATATTATCATCTGCTTTAACAAAATCCTTTAAATTTGTTTCCCAAATTGCTTCAATCCATTCCTTCGTAACTATTGGTATTTGCATATCTATAGCAGTCTATTGAAAATAGGTCAAATGTTGAAAACATTAAAATGTACTTTTTATTTATTGCTCCATTTACCTCATATTTTGCTGACATCACAGATGCTGTTACAAGATGCGTTACGCGACTTCGTAATTGTTTTGTGAAAATACCTCCCATATATTCTACCAATTTTTCTATGTGTTCCTATAATTATCAATCTATTAGATACTCTTAATTGGATAAAAGTAATCTTAATTTGAATTTAAAAGTTTTATTAGATATACTTTTTCTTTCTGTGGAAAACCAGAAGCACAAATACAAAGTCCTCTCATAGCTGTTGTATATACTGGACTTCTTCCTTCTGGAATTGGTTCTCCATTAATAAAGCAAAGTAATAAACATCTAGGTCCAACTATCCTATAGGAGTAAATATTCTTAAATAAAAATCAATGATAATAAATTATACTATTAAACTTCAATCAATTTGTCTTACTTACGGGCATTTGAACGTCTTTAAATTCTCAAATATATCACCTTCAAATTCTTCCATTATAAAAACATCATTTTTAGCAGGTTTCATTTTATTACATTTCACCTCTGTGATCCATGTTGGTTGTAAGTCATGCTCGCAACATTTCTAGAAATACAATTAAATAAGTTTTGCGATATAAACATCTTCATTTATATAAGGATTTATTTACTAACATTATATGCATGCCACATGTCTTCCACACAATCATCTTCAGAATTATACTTCTTTGGCACAACAAAGTAAAGATTTACATCTGTATCAAACTGGCTCTCCTCATTCACCATTTTGATAAGCAATATTATGAAAAATACTGTTTCAAAAACGAGATAATTATTGTACTTCTTGAATAATATTCATACGTGATTCATAACGCACTAACTACATGATAACATCGATTTTAGGGTCATAAATTAATTACGTACAGTACAACGTAATTTTAATTACTGTACATCATACAACGATTTTTGATCGTTTAATATGACATTACGATCATTTAAATCATTCAGCGATAGGTTAGATGTTTTTTATCAAAAAAATGTCAACGAATTCTTTGATTTTATAAGTGTGTTTCTACATAATACATACGATAGTGTTTAAAGTGTTTTAAAAATATTGCAAGTGGCACTATAAAAACCGACGAATCTTTAAATTATAAAATATGATTCACAACACCATGGGCAACAGTTGTATTCATCGGCACCGCAAATATGCTATCCTTGTCGCACACTGGTGCAGTGATGGACAGGATGGACTCGAGTCCCGGAGATAGAAGGAATCAAACTTCCTTCGATCTTCCTCTTTGTGCATGTGACTCTGATACAGAAGGTACGTTTCGAGCTAGAATTAAAACTTATTCCAGCTCTTCGAAAATCATTACGTTCTTATAATATCAGAAGTAAAATTCGAGCCAAATTCGATTAGTACCACCTCTTCGTTCATCATGATCTCCTCATACAAGAGGTAAGTTTCAAGCAAAAAATAAAAATTACGATACCAACTCGTACATTACGTTCTCCTGATACAAGAGGTAAGTGTCGAGCAGAAAATAAAAATAAGGACACCTACTCGCTCATTACGTTCTCCTGATACAAGAGGTAAGTATCGATATTTAATTAAAAGTTATGCTACTTCTTTGAGTATCATGTTCTCCTGATACCAAAATATAAAATTTCCTCAGTATTTCGATACGTACCATGAATTTCTCGTGCCACCTCCTCGCATATCATGTTCGCCTGATACCAGAATAAAAATTTGGCATGACTTTTAATTGAACATCAATACTTACCTCTTGTATTAGCAGAACGCGTTGATCGAGAAGGTATCATAATTTTTATTCTGGCTCGATACTTACCTATTGTATCCGGATCTCATGAACAGCGAAGAGAAATTAATAGGAAACATTTTAGAAATTGAAGAGAAATAAAGGGAACTGTCTAGAGCCCTTAGGAGTTGTTAAGAGATATTAGGGGGGGTTGGGAGTGCAGTGATATTTAAATTAATCGAAAATTGAGATATTTGAAAGGTACAATTAATCTGCACTTTTATTATTAATATATTTTGATTGCGCACAGCACAAGTATATACAAAGATGTACGATAGCACGTTACATTAGCCCTTAATCGTCTTCATCTGAATCGCTTTCGCCATCACTTTCATCTTCTAATTCCGGCATAGGAAAACGTAATACAGCTGCTATTCCCGTAACTTGTTCTAACTCTAGATAGTTAAAAGCATTAATGTTAAACAGTGTCAGAAGTTAAATTGTAAAATTTGAGATACGTGAAACTTACGTTCACCCGATACATGAAGACTTGAAAATATTTTTACATCCCCACCAGAGTCTCTTACGTTTTCAACTATTTCAACATATTCTTTCCTGACATCAACATCTTGACACCTGAATACAATTAGTTAAATAATAAGAAAGTAAGTAGAACTTGATTACAGAAAAATATAATTTATTTACCTAAATAATTTATCTGAGATAAGCAATGTTTCAATAGCCTGAGCTTCAATGGCTTTATTAATGTGCTTCTTCCCATAAAATGCTCTCGAAGGATCAGTTTGGAGTACTGTAAAAAATGTTTCTAGAGCTTTTACTTCACCAGCTGCTTTTGTTTCAGAAATACGGGACATCACTGCTGGCTCAGCCAAAATCTCTATTGTAAAAAATCACAAAAATTGTGCAATTATACCATTCTTACTTACTTAAAAAAAAAAAGTAATTTACCTTTTAATGAATGTTTAAATCCGGAACTCGAATGGACAAGCAAGAATTTACTCCTATTTTCTATTATTGGTTTGTTGTCAGTTTTAATGGCTTGTTGTATCATATAGTCCATATACTGATCTTTGACAAAACCAGGACTAGCAAGAATAACACATTTCACGATATCAAAATTGATGTGTCTTAATATTCCTTGCATTATATTTTCATAAAATCTTGCTAAGCCCTAAAAATATTTAAATAAACTATTGTTCCATATAAACAGCATAAAAATTGATTTAAAAATATTAACCTTTTCATGTTGTGAAACATTTCCTTTTCTTTTTCTAGGGATAACTTGATCTATTTTAGCACGTACTATTGTCATATTTGAAGTTATTAAGCAAATATGTGCTATGCCTTCTTGCATCACTACGGCAGCAACATCTGCATTCTAAAATAAAGTATATAATCATTTGATTAAACAGTGGTTTATCACTATCATTACTTTACCTGTGTAGGATCGCATGCAGTATCAACTCTTTCCAAAAAAACGGAATCCCATTCAGCTTTCCTAATTGTAAACTTTCGATTTTGTTCTACATCCAATGTGTGATATGCTCCCACCTATAAAGAATCATACCTATATAGTAAGTAGATACTTCATAAATTCTTTGGTAACTCTAAACTAAATTACCTTAACATATTTATTTTCTTCTACATTTTTACCCCTCAGTCTTAAAACACATGCCTGTTTATCAAAATCGATGACTTCTACACATATAGTAAGAGTAGTTCTGACTCTATGACTATTGGAGCTACCGGTTGCAGATTCCATTTGCACTTTTCTATAAAATGCACAATAAGATATTAAATATTACATGGGAATCAACATAAAAGTTTCAAGTAACAAATGAAAGGTATACAACTTTACCCATCTAATAAGATTAACATTCGTACCTAATAGTGGAACAACTAACAAAATCTCCTTTACCAATGAGATTATATGTATGCCACATATCTTCAGTATTTTCTGCGATCAGGGACACACTCCTGACAATATTTATTCAAATTCAGATAATTCTTTATTCTCACTATAATATTTTACGACTAGTTTACTCACCCTTTCCCATCTTTATCAACATACTTTGATACTAGCTTCATTGTAGACAATTCGTTTCTATATTATATCTAAAAATATAAGACATTAAACTTTTGGTTTTCGTATCATTATGTTAAGAAAATTTGAAGAATATACAAATACTTCGAGTTAGTGTATCTTCGATTTTAAAAACGCGTATCGTGCGGTATGTGCTTAAAAATCATTCTCGTATATCGGAGAATTAAAAATGAAACGAAATATAGGACTTGGAAAACATTTATTCAATTGCTTTTACAAATAGTGTTGCATGTTAAAATAAGAGTTCATTTATTTGTAGGTTATGTTAGGATCGGTTCCGGTTAATGTTACGCGATGTTTAAAGAGAGTCATGTAATTACCTTAGGAATAATTGCACTGATCCGTATTTCGAAAAATCATACATCTCGTATTTTACGCTTGATTGGAATGACGTAAAATAAGTCTTGCCATATGTCAAACATGATACTTTTCTGTCGAACAACAATCCCATCCATGGTTCGATTAACAAATTATCTGTACACAACGGTTTACAGATGGCGTGTAAACGAAATTCTAAAAAATTAATGCGCAGTTATTATTATTATTATTATTATTATTAATACTCTGCAAAACCGAGGCACTGATTAATTGCCTCAATTTGTCATTACTATGTTCATCAATTTAGCTCTGCAATTCTAGAACCATAAAGATCTGTAATATCTGTATGTTTCAAGAATGCGATAGAGAACAATCACTGAACTATATAGTTCAGGTGGTTATGTATTAGTGGCTCCATCGGTGGAAGAACGTCCAAGTTTGTAGTGAAAATAGTTCCCGCTCTTTCTGTAAGATGGTGCCACCGATATGTTAAATCAATTATGCTTTATTTTTCATGAATGCGTAATTAATACGATTTTTTGTGTTATAAGAATGGAATATATTATTTTAGAGGCGCTGACCAAACTCCGAAAATTAGTTCGGCCTGTTCACTGCTAGATGGCTATTCATTTGAGCGAAAATGGCGGAAACTCACAAGTGAAACTACGAGATTTAAAAAAAGTTTAAAAAGTAGGCTAGTTTATGACAAAAGGAAGCAGACTAGTACCAATTTTAGCGAAGCAAATTACGAAAAAACAAAAAATATTTGGTTTCTATTATAAATTCATTAGACAATTTTTTACATTTACATCATTTACAAAAGATACAAGATAGTTTTAAATATCTATGATCACGTTCAATTATGAGTAAATATATGTGATGCTTATGATCATGACATTTGAAAATCGTTAGAATGTAATTAAATAATTATCCTTTGATAACTGCAATTGGCCTTAACTTGATACATTTTCGAGAAATGCCTGCTGCATGGCACGTATTTACAACGTCTGTCACATTTTTATAGGATTCTGGTGCCTCTTCCATCACCAACTTCGGGGAAGCGACCCTAATAGAGATTCCTTGTTGTTCTAATTTTGCTAGCACATCCATATAATCCAAGTTCCTGCGCGATTTGGCCCTAGACAAAGCTCGGCCCTAAATAGAATTTATAATTAATATTTAATTTCGGTATAATTTCAAACTGAACAAACGTTGCTTTACTTACCGCGCCATGACAAGTAGATCCAAACGTTTCTTTCATACCCTGTTCCGTTCCAGTAAGGACATAACTGCACGTGCCCATGGTACCGCCTATCAAAACTGGTTGTCCTGTTAACTGATAGTCTACAGGAATTAAAGGATGATGAGGTGGAAATGCTCTCGTAGATCCCTGTAAATAGAATAGCATTTTATGAAAACCTAATCGGTTAAATTGCACATATTTAACTTACCTTTCTATGCACTAGAAGCGTCTTCTGTTTACCCTCGACCAAGTGTTCTTCCACCTTTGCGATATTATGAGAAACGTCATATATAACGTGCATATCTAAATCATCGGGAGATGAATTGAACTGCTTGGCAAAAGCCTGTCGACTGAGGAACGTCATAGAACTTCTGTTGACCCATGCAAAATTGGCAGCTGCTGCCATTGATTTCAAGTAATCTTGACCTTCCTGAGAATTAATGTGAGCGCAAGCTAATTGTCTATCGTTCGTTTCGATGTTGTCTCGTTTCATAGCTTTTTCCATTTGAACGAGTGCGTCTATTACGAAAAGAGAAAATATATCGAACTCTCGTTTCTGAGAACAGCTTTGATGAATGGGTGAGCGTATTACCAGTTGCAACCTGATGACCGAATCCTCTGCTACCGGAATGAATCATTACACAAATTTGACCTTTCTCTTCGATACCCATTTTGCATGCAGCCCATTTATCATAGATTTCATCTACTACTTGAATCTCGGCATAATGATTTCCTGCTCCTAAGGTACCCAACTGAAAGACAACATTTTTTAATTTAACCATCCTTTAATACTGGAACAGAGAAAGTAAATTTATGACTTTTTACCTGAGGAAGTCCACGTTTTTTAGCCCTCATTGACACCTTTGACGAATCCGCGTTAAGCATTCTACCATATTCCTCACAATGTTCTTTGTCTTCAGCCCAGATATAACCTGTGTACAATATAAAAACATATTTTGTAAATACAGTGTTTCGTATTAATAAATATGCCAAGTAAATACCTTCTCTAAGGGACCAGTCCATTCCCATTTCTAAAGCTTCCTCTAAGTCCCGTGCATTCATCGGTATGATTCCTTTTGAACCAACGCCAACAGGAATATGATCAAACATGCTTTGTGCAAGTTGCTCCTATTAATTGTATTACATTACATAAATTTCATTACATAGTTTCACATAAATATACAATTAATAGTTGGTAAAGTACTACCTTTACAGGTAAGACATCCTCTTCGAATAAATTAGTTCTTAATAGACGAACGCCACAATTTATATCAAATCCTACTCCACCAGGAGATACTATAGACTTTGGATCATTCATGTCAAATGCTGCCATATTACCGATGGCAAAACCATACCCGGAATGCACATCTGGCAATCCAACTGATCTCCATACAATTCCAGGAAGGGCAGCTACATTGGCAATTTGTTTCACTCCTGGGAGAAAACCCCCAACTGCACCTGGTCTGCACGAATTACGTAGCTCTTCTAACATTAACCGTTCTAGTGTGTTATTTACATAAAATACACCTTCAACCTATAGAAAATTATTTAACGTAGTTTAAACGTCCAGCAGAAATTGACAGATCGACATGAAGGAAGTACGAAACGTTATGTTGTAAGAAATATACCTTCATATTAGGTTGGAAGCCTTTCTTTATCCTCCAACATGTTTCGTTTATCTTCTCTAAGTACTTTAATTCTTCGTTGTATTGCCTGACAACCATTTCGAGTGATAATAAATAATTTTAAAGTAAACAAAGTACAGTAGCCAACGGGGCAACCCTAAACTCAGTTGAATTGCTGCAGTATTAGAATGTCTTGTCAACGCCATCGATGGCGGAACGTCCAAGTTTGTCGAGAAATAATGTTTTAGTTTTTACGCTAGATGACGCTACTGATATCTATAGTAGCGTCATCTAGCGTCAAAAAATGGGAACTGTTTCTCGACAAACTTGAACGTTTCGCCACCGATGGCACTGATACGATTTTCCAGCTGTTATTAGTAGCGTCATCTAGCGTAAAAAATTAGAAACTATTTTTCGACAAACTTGGACCATCTATTGATAGATGGCAGAAGAGTTTTCTTTTTTTTTTTTATTATTTTTAAAGTCCGTAGATACCCTCTACATTACACTGTCTTGCATTAAGTATTACAATTCGACATTTTCTTATTTCTACACTACAAAAATAATATTTGCTGTACCTTATACACTATCAATATTTGTGCCTATATCTATTTGTACATTTTCTTACGCTTAAATAAATCCCCTCTGCAGATCTGCCGAAACACTTTCGTGTTTCACTGTGTGCACCGCTTTACTGGTGTGCAGAGAGGAGATTCATTAGTTTCTTCTAGTAGAAGATTTTTTATTAAAAATCATAATCAAATAATTTATTGTCAACCCAGAATATAAATAAATTTAATAAACTCATAAGTATATATATTAATTTTTGGTTGCTTATGCAAATTAGTGATGATCACTTTGAATTTCGTTCCTATCTAAACGTCTTATCACGTGATTTGGAACTACGTTCAGTGATACCGTAACGAGAAGTTATAATACTCTCTAGTGTTGTTTTGCAATCCTCGAATGCTTTCTGGTACGAGGTTGTATAAATAACCTATCTATGGTGAATATAAACGTCTGTATGTGATGGCGAAACGTCAAATTTGTTCCATGCAACGTTCGGGGAGTTCTCAAATTGTCAGTATCGCTGGGAAGTGATATTAAAGAAACATGGTTTTCGATCACCTGAAATAATAACAGTTTCGCTTTGACTTAAAATTTGAAAGACTGAAGGTAGCATAGTTATTTAATAGGAGATCGCATTTAGTACAGATATTTAATGTAAAATGGAGTGTAAGATCGATGATTTGCCAGACGTGTTGTTGGAGTACATTCTAAGTTTAATTCCCCCTTACAAAGATCTTCAGGAATGTAAGCTTGTGTCCAAACGATGGTTCCATGCTACCAAAAGTATGTTAAACTTTTTTTTATTTGAAGTATACTTACCTTTTTTATTTTTAACATTTTTAAGCTTATATTTTTATGACAGATGTTATACAACATAACAGAGCTCATTTTCACAAATCTGTCGCTTATGGATCATTGCTTTGGAGCCCCTGGCCATCTAAACATTGGATGCCTATTATAGGAAAAAGACACTCCCATTCTGCTTGCACGTATGAAAATTCCATGTATGTCTTTGGTGGATGTACAGCTACATGTACAACATTTAATGATTTATGGCGATTAGATTTGGACACAAGAACATGGGTGAGATTAATTACTATGGGGAGTTATCCATCTCCCAAGGCTTGTGCTACTATGTTATACTATAAAAAAAGTTTCATTCTATTTGGTGGATGGTCTCTTCCATCGCCATACTCCTTACACCAGGTATTTGAAATGAGTAATAATGAAGGTAATTAAATAATCTTTTAAATTTATTATATTATAATTTATATGTTCTCAGCAACCAAAACTATTCAATGAATTACATGTGTATTCTATAGAATCTAATAAATGGATTGCTATAAATACACTGGAAAAGCCTCCACCTGCAGCAGCACATTCCGCGTCAATTCACAAAAATTATATGATTGTTTTTGGTGGTATAATGGGTAATATATTTTTTGATAGGTAATATATATATAATATATAAATACTGAATTTTGTTTTGTTGTTTCAATTTGATTTCATAACAAGAGCACTATGTTATTTTGAGGCAGATCCAATGACGTATGGTGTTTGAATTTGGATTCATATAGTTGGCATAAACAAGCTACATCAAATATAAAACCAGAACCACGATACGGTCAATCTCAAATTGAGCTAGGAGATAATCACCTACTTGTACTAGGTGAGTTTACATCATTTTAATATAACATATTAACTTCATTGATGTACATTTAATTTTTGTTTTATTTTAATGTAATGTATTGAAATAAATTGGAATGTTCCAAACATTAGGAGGTTGTGCTGGTTCTAACATTGCTATGAATGATGCTTGGTTACTAAAAATGGAAGGCACAATCTGGACATGGAGAAAAGTAATTATGCATAATACAGAGTGGGCACCAGCGCGGATTTGGTATCATCAAGCTTGTAAGGTAAAACCTTGAAATTCCTACAATTATAATTTGTAATATTCTGTATTACTTATTATTTGTGACTTTTTGACTTAAAAGGTGGGAAATTATATTATTGTTCTTAGTATAAACAAATGTCAAAGAAAACCAAACGACATGAATATATCGCTAAGAAATGTCACTGGTCAAAGAACGGCTCCTTCGCAAGCGTGTGATCCAGCTTCTTTACAAGAAAGGTTCATATAATTCTATTAATTATTGGTATCAGTTACAAATTCGTATAAATTTATGACAATGTTTTCAGACCAGGAAATGTATCTCATCCCGATAGAGAAGTAAACGTTAATGGTCGACACGGATCTTTTTCAAGGGCCTCTGTGCAAAATGCACAATCTTCGTCTCACACTCCTAGTTTTACAAAAAATTTAGCATTATGCAATGACAATGTTTTAAGTATGGCTGCTTTTCGTGACGAACCAATCCGTAATAGTTCAAACAGCAACCGGCAACGTCAATTAGAATCACTTCGAAGAATGGAAGAAAGAATTAGAAATCGAAGAACGCAATCGAAAATTGTGAAAAAGACGGGAAACACATTATCTATATTTGTATTGGACATTACGAATGTTTTACGCGATGAATGCACGGCTTCGTGGATTCCTTTGAAGCAGAATAATCAATCTGGTCCCGATGAAAGAATACTTTATTCACTTGTACCAGGTCAAGGTGAATTGATAGTATTTGGTGGCATCCGTAAGGAACAATTTCTACAAAGTCACCCTGTCATGGACGAGTCCGAAGTCTATAACGATCTCCATTTTATAAATCCGCCAAGATATGTTATTTAATATACCAACTAATAGCGACTAATTCATTTTCATATTCGATGGAGAATGTTTTAATTTTGTTAGCGTTGCATTGAATTTAGTTGTGCCACAGAATAGTATTTGTTAAAAACAATTTCAACTTGAACGTAACAACAGTGCAACAACGTAAGAAAATATAAATATTTTGTGATAAATATTGAACGCTCAAAAATATTAGTTTATTTCTTTTAAAAAGAAACATCCTGTAGAAAATTTAATTTTTTGGCATATGGTAAGAATTTACAAATGTTGATTTCATGAACACTACACATAATTATAAATCTCAAGATTTCATTGTGAAATCATTTATTTACACATTTTCCACACACCATGAATTATACACGGCTTAATCGTCTTCGCCTTCAGTTGCTTTTAAACTACCGAACACTTGTGATGGAATAGTTTGTTTTTCAATGGGTATATCTGAAAGTAAACATACGAATTAGGAAACAGAACATAAAATGTGTATGTTGCTATGGCAAGTGTCCAAATCAATTTATAAACGCATTACATGTGATAAAATGTAATAAAAATCTAAGTGTGTTATTATGTATTCTATATTACCTTCCTCTACATCCGCCTCATTGTCGTTAACATCGTCTTCGATATCGATATCTATTTCATCCGGATTATTCACTTGAGAATCCGATTTACCATCTCCTTCTGTTACACCACGAACAAATTTGATACTGTCCTTGTATGCGGTAACGTTGTCTATAAAATTATATTATTGTGTTAGTATAGCGTAAACATTAGATATTCTAAATTACATCTTTACGAAAACTCCGATTGAATACCTGTACTTGGCGTTTTACTATCCAAAAGACGCATTGCGTCCACTGGAACATCGGACGGTGGATTCGTTGCATTGTTTAACATTTGAGCAGACATCATATTCACTTGTGTATTGTACATAGCTTGAACGCTGCGTTTAATTCGAAGCATTTCACGCATTGTATCCTCATTGCCATGTCTCACTTCAAATTCTTTCCATATTTGCCAGAAATTCGATGTTACCTATGTAAGACATAAATATTTATACAAATAAAATTCTATATTATTTTTTAATTATTCGATCGAATATTTCATACCCTCGGGTCGCAAATTTGACTGCAGTGCGCATATATTGCTCGAGCCCTGTCAACTTCTCCCAATTTCGTCTCCATCTCTGCAAATCGCAGACACATTTCTCTTGTATTTTCCTCGTTTAGAACTTCAATAGCTTTTTCGTATATTTGTCGCGTTTTCGGAACGCCATATATATCTGCTGCTTTCTTGATGTATATGTTGAACATCTCAAATCTTTCTTCAGGGAGAACGGCACTCGTTGCTCGTTCGTAAACGGACATTGCGTGTCTAGCTAAGCCGTGTTCTTCTTCTAATTTTGCGTATAACAAATATAAGGCTGCAAACAAATATTTTAATAAATAAGCAAAAACAAAATATTTTTCGTAATATTTCTTTTTCATTCGATTCTAAGTGGCAATACCTTTAGCATATTTAGGTGGACAGTGTTCTAAGCACTGTTCGAACAAATCTCTCGTTCGTTCCAATTTTGTACCACCATAACGTTTTAAGAATTTCGTAAGGTACGTGTTCCATATGTCGTAAACATTAGGCCATTTGAATAATGCGATTCCTTTTTCATATGCCTATTAAAAATATCGAGGCATTACTTACGATTAAAGTCTATTGGCTTTTAACAAAATCATAATCTGATATTTTACATACCCTGAAAGCCTCTTCAAAATATTTATTTTCTTCTAAAAAGAGACCGTAATTAATAATGATTTGTGGCGTTGCAATTTTTAAATCTATGATCTTATCGTACACCGCTTTGCACGTCTATGAAAAAATACAACAAAATTATAAATTACGAAAATAAATATTATAAAAGTGAATTTACATCTTCACGTGGATACTTTACCTTAAACGTGCCAAAACTTTCTTCCAAGTCTGCATACATAGACCAGACTTTCAAAGATTTATATAACCTCATTTGAACAGTTTCAGTTTCATCGTGATAAGCTACTTTGCGGAATGGCATAGCGGTAGCACGATGCATAAGTTTCAAAGCTTCTTTATAATTTCTGTATGGATAAAATTGTATTAATTAAAATAAAAATGCAAAAAGATTTTTGTTTTTAAATATTCAATATTGCAATAAAGGAATCAGTACCCATGTCTAATTTCCATTTCCGCCCATTCACACCACACAGAGGCAAGGTCGTCAACTTTAGTATATGGAACATGAGTTGCCTTTTCGAAGACGACTCTAGCATCCGTTATTTGACCATTTTCTTCATAAAATTTGCCAAACGCAACCCATAAAGTATGTAATTTGCCTACTGCCAATTGTGGCTGCACAGTTTGCACAGCTTCCGTATATGTATTAATAATCTAAAAAGAATTAGTAACTAAATTAATAAAACGTTTCTTTTGTTGAGTGTTAAGCAATTCTTCTATATGAAATAAGATAATAATTCTTTATACTTCGTGCGGCTGCCCTTCGTAAAGCATAACTCTTTTATGCCACTCTTGTACGTTATGTGGATTTTGTCTAAGTAATACGGAATTGAGTAATAATAATCGTCTTTCCATCAAATGTTCAAATCGCGCCAATCTTAATTCTAAATCTATATCATCTGTAAAAGCAACGATAGAAAATATTACAATTCAAGATAATAGTGTTACAGTTTTTATGGAGTATTAATATGTATGCGCATGTTTATACCATCTTCGGTAGGATTTTTTGCAGCGTCTTCCATGCGTTTACTGAGGCTAAGTTCCTCAAACTGTGCATACGCATCAAACACTTGTGTAAAATCTCTAACAGTTGTCACTGTTTGTATTGCTTCCTCGTAAATGTCTCTTGCCTATCAAAAATAAGGAATATAGAAATTATTTCTTTTGAAATTATATATGTATCAGGGTATAGAGAAATATTTTAATACCCTTTCAAATAAGCCGCTGCGAACGTAGTAATCAGCCAAAGAATTCCAAAGAGGACCTAATTGATCTGTGTAACGTCTCAAACCACCTCTGATAATGGCATCTACATTAAGAGATTTTATTTTGGAAGGATTTTTTGATATCAAGTCGCATAATTCATTCCATAATTGATGATTTGATTTCCCATGCTTTGATACAAAGTCATCTTGGTTAACAATTTGCGCAAGTTTTACAGCTGCTTCGTCGAGTCTTTCAATTGATATCAGGTATTCTATATATTCTTCTGTATCTTCTGGAGCTAACTAAAGATAATATACATATTGTCTAAACACAAGTAGTTAAGATAAGTTACGTTAATAAAATAATTTTATACCTTCAGATATCTCCTGAAAACCCTGACAGCAGTCTCATACACATTATTTTGCTTTAGAAATTCAATATATAATGGCCATACACGATGATGTTGGGTAATAGGAAGTGCTCTAAGTGCCCGATCAAAAACTTGTCGCGTATGAGTAATGTAACATTGTTCTGTCATTAGCGTGCAATAATCCATCCAAATTCTAGGCATTTTATGCATGAAGACTAGGGCACGCTCAAATGCATTATTTACATCATCATAAAGGGGATCTGTTATACATCTTCCTTTTAACTGACTTACACGTTGACGTAAATAATTGTACCATAATTTGTAACTAAATAAAACAAAAACTTTAGTATCATATAAAAGACTATCTAACATATTATATTAAAATATAAGAATACAAATCTTACCTTCCAGGAAGTTCCTTTAATGCTCGTTCGTAGACAATGTTTAAATTACTACTTTTTGTACTTTTCAAATGATCTATGTAACGTTGCCAATGTTTTACAGAATAGGGATTTCTTAAGATTTCTTCTTCATATGGTAAATCTTCTTCGTTCTATATAAAAGAACATCATCAAAGTACTGAACTAGTGTATACAGAACAAAATGAGGTTAGCTATAACGATGTACTTACGAAAACGTATAAATTCCCTTCTTGATCTTTGCGCTTCAACATCATTGATAACCTTATTAAATTTTATACAATTTAGTTAGATTAATGGCAATAGTAAGTCATCTGCATTCCGTATTCACGGGATAGGTTATCTTCTCCTGTTTTGATGCAGTTCGATGAAATTTGTTCCAACCGCGCTATGCAGCACTATGTCAAGGCGGTATTTCATTGATCACGTCTAACCTAGAATACTTAGGTCTAATAGGGAATGTAGCGTTTATTAGCTAATAGAGTCATTTAGAAATACACTAATAAAATTATTCGTATTATCGTAATATAAGTAAAAAAATATTTGATGTTCTTGTAGTACTTTTATTTCCGAAATAATCAAGATAATTGCACATTTCGTTATATTTTACAATGAAAATAATAACAATTGTAGCAGTGTCTGAATTGATTTGGAAAAAGTTGTGATAAAGATGTACACCTGAAAATCATGTTGCACAACCTGTTTACCTCTTTTTGGAAAAGACACTGGAGTGTGACAGCTGTCATGTCAAGAATATGATCGTGATTCATATCTGCTAATGTAAACAATTGGACTGATGTTTGCGTCATCTATTTGAAAGATTGTCGGTGTTTAACATATACATTGCGCACAAATTGATTGTGTTTGAACCGTTTTAATAAATAAACGCTGTAAAGGATGACAATGGGCGATGAGACTCCAGTTACATCACTGGTTCTTCCTGTAATCTTAAGACCAATATTGATGAAGGTACTGAAAATTTCCCTTGGTTCCCTTATTATTTGCACTGCCTAAAATAGATTTCCTAAAGAAAAAATCGATTTATTAACTGCCAAACAGTTTTTATTACAATAAATGCGCAAATATATATTACTATTTTATAATTATTTATGCAGCTAGAGAGACAGAATGTATCGGGTGCTCAAACCTTACGCACAGCTCTTTTGAAAGCTGAAAATTCTCATCCAGGTATTACACACGATTTAATTCTTGGTATAATACGACGAGCAGAACTTAATGTTGACATGAATGAAAGCGTTCTGAGATTACAAGGAGCAGCTTGTGATTATGATGGTACATTAACATTGATGGTGATTGTAATACATGTTTAATTTTTTCTAATTATTTTATCCATTATGATTGTAGTTGTGGAATATAGATCAGCCAGATCAGAGGATGCTTTCCAAGAATTAAATCGTAAGTCAACTTCTCTAAAAAGAATACTTAGCAGAATTCCTGATGAAATAACAGATCGTAAAACTTTCCTTGAAACAATCAAGTATGTATTTGCATTGATATATTTTGTTTATATAGATAGCTATGTTGTTTACTTATTTTAATGTGTCGATTTTAGAGAAATAGCCAGTGCAATAAAGAAGCTTTTAGATGCAGTGAACGAAGTTACTGCATTTATACGCGGATCTGCAGGTAAGCAAGCACTGGATCAGAGGAAAAGGGAATTTGTAAAATATAGTAAAAGATTTAGCAATACATTGAAGGAATACTTTAAAGAAGGACAGTAAGTATTATTTATTTCCATATTCACTATTACTGAACCCATTAATCAGAAGTTTTATTAAAATTTGGAATTTTTGCAGAGCCAATGCAGTATTTGTGAGTGCACTATATTTAATACATCAAACAAATATGATCATGCTCACAGTAAAAGACAAATGTGAGTAATGACCATTTAGTTAAGGAATGCATGCGATACTCCTACAATAATAAAGTTACTAGCAGTTATCTTGAAACATATAATATTCTACTTTTATCGATTTTGTTACATATTTGATAATAGAATTCAAATGTCATTTAATATAAAGTATGATAGTATCACTATTTTATATGTATTATATTGTTACATCATTATGGATAGATAAAATCATAGATACAGAATTCTAATAAAAGATAAAGATGTTGTCTTCAATGTGTTATACTTACTTACTTCGCGTGTAATAGTAAAATACTTATGCGAAGAAAACTGTGGATACAGGAATACATTTGATTTTAAAAAGGGATGTACATTTGAAATGTATAAGAAATAAAAATTACTTTATTGATAACAAATGTACACAAGTGTGTTGTTTTTCCCACTGGGAAAATTGAATGGCTTGGCTATCTACACCTACAGTTTCATTGTATTAACAATTACAATGAGTAACAGTAAGGATTAATGGTAATTATTGTAATGAACATTAATGGAAAATGTACAAATCTTCAAGCACGTTTGCTATCTGAAAATGCTCGTACGATACTGCCAACGCCGCCGATATTATATACTTTTTCATGCCAGATTAATAAATGACTACTACTGCCTTCCGTTGGGATTTCGAACCCCCGATAAATATATTTCATTAGGACATCCAGTAAATCTTGATCTAATTGTGCTATGCAATCATCCATTTGATTAGATTTTATACTTAGAAGAACCTTTTGAGTTAAATTACGAGCGCTATCCTGTAAAATTTAAAGGATTTTTGTCTGTATCAAATATGTCATGTACACAAACTATTATAAAATATTAGATGATATTCATATAAATAATAAGATATTGATATACGACATGAAAAATAAAATATCGTTATGCAATAAAATAATATATTTAATTAATAATGTAACAATCTCGTAAAGTAACAATTGAAATATGGGATATTGAGGTTACCTTTACTTGTTGATTTTTACATTCAAGGGGTGCAGATTTTAGTACTGATATCAAAGCTTCGGCATTCTTACCCTTGAATCGAAATATTAAGGAAAATACGATAATATAGAACAGAAATTATTCTAACATAATCACACGTCAACGTAAGAGTCATGAAAAGGATATTGGCTAAGAAGTATCAAAACTTCATTTTCGTCTGGACCGGTGGGCCCTCCTATTCCTCCGTCGGCATCTTCTTCTTTAAAATTATTGTCACTGTATTGATCAACGTCAATTTTTCGAAATGCAGACGCCGACGAATCTTTTTTGCCATCGTTTCTTGACATTTTCACTATGTACTCAACGTTTCACTGTGATCACGCCCGACTTATCATTTAACGCTTAGGAATGAATTTTCATTGGTCTAGAAATATGTCTATATACGACACTATCTATTTACACTAATAACAGAGCTAAACGACATTAAAGATTTTCGCTGATTAATGCACATATTCCTTTTTCATAAAAGAATACTTTTCTACTTATACGCGATAGAAAATTATACTAAAATAAATGCTGGTAACTTCCAGCGGACACATCGAAATATTCCACCAATCGAAAGCATGAAATATTTTCGAAATTCATTATCCTCTTTTTTTCATTTCATTGCAAATATATGAATCTTTATGATTTTATAAAATACTTAAAATGACTGTTTGAGGAAGTTTGATTGAAGTATATAGTGACATACATAGACCTAAATGCAAATCTACCTTTGTCTACTGATAGAAAGCCAGTTTAAACACAAGCAAACTTTTCAAACAATTTGTAATTCGATTAAATATTTAACATCTTTCGAATACCATCCAAGCATTACATATTTTACAATGAAAAGTTTGCCCGTTTATAGCCTATAAATATATTTCGCTGTTCCCTAAATAGTATTGCAGAAGGTTAGGTTGATATCAGTTGATCATATGTTATTGTGATACTTTGCGTAGGACAAATGTACATACACTGTGTATTAAAAACTTTAATCGAATTATGAGTTGTCCAAATCTCGTTAGTAAATTACTCATGCCAAAAATAATATGGCATCAAACGGACGTAGTGGTTGTTATTCGTATTTTACTCGAGGATGTCGATAAGTACTTTCTCCGAGTTAAATGTGATTATTTATTATTTAGGTATTTTATAGTATCTTGTGTATCTAAATCGTATATTATTTTCCCTGAAACTAACGAAAGGTTTGTTTCGAAACATGTGCAAGTAATGTATACGTTATTTTTAGTACCACGCGAAACGAAAAAAGTTATTATGTTTGTTTATACCTTTTTGGAACGGTGGTAGCAGAAAAAACTGTTCATGTAAATTTAGGAAGAGAAGTTAAAATTACGCTTACAAAGGCGCATAAATGTAATTACAATTATTTGTTTATTATTCTAATATTTTTTCTAATTTACTCACACCTTGTAAAATATGATAGGGACAGAATGGTTAAGATTGCATCTCGAAAAAGAAAAAAATCCGTTAATAAGCGCAGATATGGAACGTTTGTATAAAAATAATTGGCATAAGATTCCTGTAATAGTAGGTAATTATTTTGAAATATAAATTAATGTTGACTAGTAGACAAATAACAAACCTTTCAAAAATTTGTTGCCAATTATCAGACAATTTATAATCTAACAAAAATTATGTTTTATCACAGAGAGGGAAAATTTGGAAGAATATAAACGAAGCAATAATATAACTCATCTAATGCCAGATGTACCATCTACAGATGAAGAAGAGTCTGATGATGATGCAATGGACATGTTATTTCTTTAATTTATGTAGGTCTAGCATTTGTTATATTTTCTTAGAAAATTGATTTTACAGAAACCGTATCTTCTAAATCAAATATTTTTTATTGAATCATTTACAAATTAGATCCATATACATACATATCATTCATACAACAACATCTAACAACATATATTCTATACACAGGAATTTGACTTCATTATTGTAAATTGTGATACCGGTTCATCTAATTACGCCTTAACAATATAATACATGTAAAAATAACTTCACCAAAAATATTGACATGTAAATATAAAAGTAGGTGCAAATAGATAATAAAAATTCTTCTTTTTTATATATAGTTTTATTATTTTATTACATCAACATATTTAGATCATTTAAATATTGTCTCTGCATACAAATTAATTATTTTTACTCACATGCTGAGCATTATTAATTACACTAACAGCAAAATTTTTAAGTTACTTTCAGAAGAAAGTATTGTTCACAGATTTTTTTTAAAATCAGTATTACTGTACAGAAGTATACAATACAAATGGTAAAGATCAATGAATTATTTTTATATTATATATTCCCATGTATACAAAATTTGCTGTATTGATAATTAATTTACGAAATGTATAGTTTGCACAATTATAGTAATTGGAATGTTATGCTGTTGCCATAGTGTACAATATGAGGTATAACATAATTGAAGTAACATAGAACTGAAAGCAGTACATAGTGTGTATATATTAATTATAAATTTTCACTCGTAATAATGTTACTCTTATCTTTGGCAATGTATATTACAACTTCTAATTAATATTTATATGCGATATCGTTATAGGAGAGGTACTGTTTAGAATGACGAGACACTTTGCAAATTTAAAAAAATGACAAAAAAAATGTAATCAAGTATAGAATAAAATAACTAAATTTTTTAAAATTTCAAAAAATATAACGAAATTTATATTTATTAGCGTTGATGCGATTGCACAGTACTGCTTCATGAAGTATACAAGGAACTAGACCAATTTTATTAATTGCTACTGTTAAATGCTATGAATCACAATTTTATATATATCTAATAAAAAATCATTTTGTTCTAATACCAAAATAATGGTAAATTAGAAATAAATTCTTCATAACAAAACAATCATATTTAGACATTTTGCATGTGTTTGTACTAAAAATGCAGATTTCAATAGAAGGTACAAATGAAATGCAATGAATAATGATTATTTACAAATAATATTTTTTGACTCGATAGTATATAAAAGATGTAAGTATGTAAAGAATTAAAATTATGCAAATATATATGACGTATATGTATGCAAAATTGAATAATTGCACAGAATGTGAAATTATTAATCCGTATACCTTTTTCTGAAAACATTAATAAACTTGTATCATCAATGTTTTGAGTTCATTTCAGTATATAATTTCGTATTTTATGCTAACAATGAAGTGTATATAAATAGCGAGTTTTATATTTACGAAACGTATCCTTTTGTAAGCTTATGGTCTTTTCTTCTGGAAAATTAAATAGTTGATATATACAGTGGACAATAATATCGATAAAATAATATTTCTATGTACATTATTATTCAAACAAAGAAAGTCCGCAAATATGATCGAAAGAAATAGTCCAACAATATTTATACAGAATATTTTAAGCGTAAACATTTAACACAAAAAATATGTTCTTTTTTAAAAGAATCGTACATAAACGGAAAGATTACTTACGTTTGAAATTAGTTCCCTATTATTAACTAGTGGAAAAGCGTCATATTCCTTGACCATTTCCGCAATCGTGTATTTATTTCAGCGCTTTGTATACGCTGAACGCTTCTATGCATTATCTATTTTTTTCTTTCTTTTTTTTTTTTTTAATTTATTTAAGTTTAATTAGCAACCTTCTAGAGAAAGCCTTTGATTGATATTTTCAACCCTAAACTTCATTTCCCTGAGTATGTCTTCGGCAAGATCGTCAACACTGGTGTATCTTACTTTGAAAAAATTGAATATATCTACGAGGAATTCGATCACTTGATCTCTAAAATAATGACAAGTGGAACGTAGACTGCCTTCCGGACCTAAGAAGCCCCATACGAGTACCGGGGAGACTTGTTCAGAAATCGAATAAAAATGTGCTAAGAACCCTCTGTCGTACCTCAACATCTGCCTTTTACCGACAAGGACCGACCAAACTGCAGTTCCAATTGCCTTAAACGTAACGTAAATGAATAGTAATAAACAGCACCGCGACAAGCGCCATTATATTTGTTCGAATACTCACAGTTTCCCGAAAACTAGCGGAGATCCATCTGTTTTGTAAAATGGCTTTGATCGACGAGGGCGGTTTTTCGACCTCCTCGAACGCGTCCAGAAGGATGAAGTCAATAAGAACGTCGTAGAAGTTTATGCATTTCACACCTCGCGGTGATAATTCTTCCTCCATCATATTACAATTACTTGGCTCCTGCAAGAACTCCAACATCCGCTCGTAATGCATCAAGTAATCCTTTGGATCCTGACATTGAAAATCGTTTATTAGAGTGTACTCTCGGAAGAAATAAATATATAAATATATTTGTGTATACCCTGTCTGCATATATGATCAAGTCGCTAATAACTTGACGTCCTATATCTGCGATCCATACTGTCGCAGATGGCATAGTGAACAATTTTGTATACGCTTGTCGTATACATTGCACTTTCGCCAAATATTCAACGTCCGAACCGCATCTTACCAGTTCGGTGTGAAACCGCCTGCTCGCAGAAAAATTACAATACATGAATCACTTTTGAACGTGTTATCTTCTTTACTATCGTTTTTTTTTTTTGCTCTGGCGTACATAAAACGCGTCTACACGTAAAATGAAAAATAACTCGTTTCGAACGAAGCAATAACAAACATCTCGTTTACATTGTAATTCGTTCCTTGAATAAATTAACATGAAATTACAACGTTTACCTGCACGGTATACCTTCATCCTCGTGTTGTTTCAGAGCGGTATGATAGAGCTTTTGCTGTTCGAAATGCGGAAAGAACTCGGCGAATTCCTCGAATTCGCGCAAATCTGCTACCTGAACAATAATACGGAGTTTAGCTTCGATCCGACTGTACCAAAATTTTAATTTTCACTCAACACGTTGACCGCCATGTCGCCCATATATGGGTGACAGTGCTTTTCACTGGAGAAATAAACAAATCAATTTTGATAGTTAAATATCGTAGAAAATGAATTTATACGAAATATTCGAATTTCGGTGAAGTTACAAAAATAAATACCACAATAAATGTTTGATTACGCAGTCTTCGATGGCCAGTAAATCAAATTTAATCGCAGTAGAAACTTTGAAGGGTATTAATGTGGCAGTCAACGTGTTAACATCGAGTTCTGACGATGTAGAAACTTACTCCGTCGCGCGCGGACTCGAAGGACTCCGGCGAAGACGCAGCATCCGCTTTATCTTTCGCGGATAATCGCGTACCTATTTTCGACGGTTTGTCCACGCTCTCTTCGCTTTCGTTGCGGAACAATACCGAGTGCTGCGAACAAATGGGATTAATTTATCCCTGATATTTCTATACGCCAGCTTCGACGATCATGATATTTCTTAACGTTTAGCTCGAACGAGGGTCTTCGTTCTGCACCCATTATAGCATCTATAGTACAATAAGTGCGGTAAGTGCACTTTGCGCGTTTAGATTCGAACGACAGCGGTCGCGGTGCCGTGAACTTCCTATGTGGTAATTCCTACTTGCGTTAGGTCAAGTGACTCATTCCGCTAATTACTCCGGTCAGTTATCATTTAAATTGGATTAATTCCTATATTTCCTTTTTTTTTTTTCTTTTTTCTTCTTTTTCTTTCGTATAGAGCGCAAAACGTAATTGACGAGCGCGGTAGAACGGAATGACAGCGAATGTAACGCAGATAAGATTCGGATGAAAATAAAATACGGTAATGACGCCGATTCGACACGTTTCAGTGTCTCGGATGTAACAGGCGGAACTTTCTCTGCGATTTGAAAATTGGTTCATTGTACAGTCTGTTTTGGTGTATGTCTCGTTTCACAGAAATATGTGTATCAGCTTGTCCCGAAAGTTTCTTTCGCGAGTTCCACTCAATTATTTTCTGTGGCAGTGTTTATATAAATAGACAGTCTAATTTTTTAGATATTCATGTACAGAATTTTGTAATGTAACATAAAACATCAAATATTGCGTACGTATCAATCATTAATAAAGCGAAAGAAACTTTTCGGACAACCTAATATTTAATGGTCTCTTCATTATCCAATTAGCCCGCTAAGACGAGGCTTCGCTATACAATAAGACGTAAGAAAGTTTGCGACTAGTGATTCAGTTTAATTTAGCCGGGACTAAAACCGTTAACGATCAACCTACTTTCTATGTGTCCAGCTTTAAATAATCGTCGATAACGTGGCCGTAAAAAGAGGAATCGTATAGCGGTCGAGTGTCTGAAAAGTGTTCGCCGCAATAAACACGCCCCGTGACTAACGATATAATAATTCAAGGAGTAACGGAGATTCGCTTCAGCAAACGGAAAATGGAATAAAAACAGACGGGGAACCGATATGCTTACCTGGTCGATAAAGAGAAGTTCTGCTTGGCTCTGAATTTCATAACCCATGTCAAGGAGCTCTTGGACGTCGTGCGTAAACGCCGCATCCGCCTTGGACGGTAATGCGAGCGTGTCATTGCTGAGGGAAGAGCTGAACGCTGTAAGAGCATCCTCCCAGCAATAGAGAGCCTTTTCCAGCGCCTCCAGTCCTGGATCGTTCAAGTTACGCATCGTTTTACATTTGTCAATTTTCATTCCACCCCGACGTGTGCGTGGTATCGCAAACAACGAATTCGAACTCGTTTAATTCGTTCCGAGAAACGCCCAACGACAGGAAAGAGACGTTGGACGCCAGTGGCTAACACTTCACGACGAAGAAAGGCATCTCACGTCGTACAAAATTACACGAAAACTGTATTTATTAGCATCTAATTGAGCAAAGAAAATGTGAGGTCGAGAGAAGCGAGGTGGATTCGAGATGGTGTCTCTTAATCACAACTAATGCCTCTGCAGATTTAGTCCAGGAAATAGTTTCTTTTCTGATGTAACACGGAATTACTATTTTTATGAGATAAAGTAATTGGGGAGACTAATTCAAGATAGGATCAAAATAGGAGCCATCTAGGAATTATAGTAATTTATCAACGTTGTAAGATATATTTGTTACGGTTCCATTGGGTTCGAGAACGTGCGAGCGAAGGATACGTTGATACTTTTGAACAAATTAGCTGATTAATTCGACCACCGCGTAGTTACGATTTCAAGCGCGTGGCTCCGACGTTACGAAAACAATTTTCCCAGTTTACTGCCGCCGTCAACATAATATCTGCGCTCTCAATCTCGAACGAGTACACTGATTCAACGTGTCTTTGATCTTTATTTCAGTGGGTGTGGAATGTATTCGTGCATCGATCGATTACCCAAAAAACTTTTGCGTGAAATTGTAGTTTATTAACTCCTTTTTTTTTTTTTATAATCAATGATATTCTACATATTCTCGAAGATCTCTAGAATATAGTTCGAACGACAATTACTAGTTTACATGATTTGGGAAATTAACAAGAAAATACGAAAAATTTGTAGAAACATAGAAGCAATAAGTATTCGCACGGTTCTTATGACGAACAATTTACTGTAGAATTTGTAACACAAGCATATCAATTTGTTGCTTCGTGGGAATTAGAAAACATTAAATATCCAGTAAAAAAGACTCAGAAAATGCTCTAATGAAGGAATGAAAGATGATCCTACTCCGAATAACATCGACATTTATGATGGTTAATTCAATGCTTGGAAGAGTTGCAGTAATTACAAAATCAAAACGAAATCCCACGAAGTATTAATTATTTATAAATTAATGTAAATTTCGGGTTTTGTTTTTAAATGAAATTTTAAAAATTCAACACTTGTCCGAATACTTATCGCTTCTGTATTTCTATCGTTTCATTGTATTTTCTTGTTAATTTCGCAACTTCTGTAAATAACTAATTTCTTTTTTTTTTACTGTATCTATTCTAGAGATTTCCAAGAATACATAGAATATCATTGTTTATAAAGAAAAAGTAAATAAATTACAATTTCACCTAGTTTTTTTGGAAATTGAACGGTGTACGAGTACTTTCTATTGTCCGAAATGTTTCTTTCGCTTCATTAATAATACATGCACAATAGTTCATGTTTTATGTTACATTACTGAATTGTGCGCGATTCATTTTGCTCCATTACTGTTACAACATGAATATTATATGAAATTAGATTGTCTATTTATATAAACACGACCACAGAAAATAATCGAGTGGAACTCGCGAAAGAAACATTTCGGGACAACCTAATAAAACATTACTCGACGTAACAGTCATCATTCCTGAACACGACACGTCGAGCTGTTTGCAGATCTGCCCTCGCAGTGCCCATTGTTATTTAAAACATATAACTTTGAATCGTATCTCACGTATTTTCCACGATCGGTATGACTTTTCAATTGTAATTCAGGATTGCATGTAGCGTGTACTGTATCGTAGGGCCTAATGCGGTCAGGATATAGTTCTTGATTGTTCCATCGAATGACTCGTCGCGATATAGAAAGGAACACACGGATCTAACACTTTCACTTTCTTCTAACAGTTTAGGCACCGCTCGAAGCGTGTACTGTCTCGAGGTCCTCATTTTTGTTTACATTGAAGCCACGTGTCGCGGCGGTGAACTTTCTATAGGATAACCGTAATTTTTTTTTTTTTTTAACTGGGACTTTTCCTGCACGATTTCTACATCCATACGGGTCCACCGCTTCGATACATTGGCTTGATTGTTCTTAAAAAAAAATCACGACGAACACGGATGGCTAGTAGAGTACGGACTTTAACGAATCGTCTGTAAAATAATAGGTTAATATTTAGAAACGTTCAAGTAGTCGAAATACTCGATTATTCGGATGATAGTTTGTATAATTGAGGAAAATTTAAGTGGCTCGAAACGTGTATTCGGATAGTTGGCTCGGCTCGCATTTCTCCGACAGCTTCAACCCAGACGGGAAGAGGAAGCTTCAGTCAGCCAACGTCGCGACTCGGTACTTGGCACTCGCACAAGTGCCAAAGGTAAGTTCAACGACTGATTTTGCAACGGCAGAAGATTTACAAATGAGAGACCCTGTTGGCCGTCGTGTCATCCAGTCAGCAGAGAGTAAGGGGTTCAGAGCATCTACTTAACGTTGTCACTGTCGCAGGAGTTAAATTCCGAGCCGGTGACGACATTCACCGTATTCAACGTTTCGTCAGTCGTCGGCCCATGCAGACGAAATCGTCTGGACGGAAGTTGAGCGTGTCGTATCAATTACAAAGGATAACACCCTAAAGGTGTGCTCGTTGTTTTCCATCCACGACAACAGTAAACTTCGTACCTACGTCAATGGTTGTTCATAAGCTCCATTGCACATAATATGCACACAGGAAAGTGTGAACTGTTGTAGTAATGGTCGTTATCGATGCACGTCCGTGTAAAGGTCGGTTCAGTCTATACGACACGGACCGTCACGTTCCGGCACCGACACGACGAAACAGTAAAACACGCGTTTTAATGTTTTGTCGTGTCGGTGCCGGTACGTGTCGTATAGTCCGAATCGACCTTAAAATTCAGATACGCGTTCTCTCGGAAGATGCGACGAGCGCATACAGGTATAGCATAGGGTGCGAAGGGTGAAAATGAATGGACCCGCTTCCCTCCGAACGGAATTTTTGATTTTTATTTAAGGATATCTCAACTGTCACAGTCCAGGGAAGGGGGATACACGGAGAGGAAAAAAAATATGCGCAACAGAGGGAGCAAAATTGGGGTGTTTCCCAGTGACGTACCAATAGAAACGCGAATCGAATCGGCTGATGTATTTATAATGTAGGCAACAGTTAACAGTTCTGTTGCTACGATAAAACTCCACGATTTCTCATGACAAGCTATACGTAAATTGAGCATGAAATTACATAGAAAATGAACTCTGGACATCGAGAGCACTTTCAAATCGTTACGCGTGCAAACTGGGTACATTCATCCCACCGTTGCACTCAGTTTACTGTTATACATGTATAATGGAATAGAATTATTTATTAAAAGAAATTTACGAGACTACGTCGCACGGCAAATGTAAATTTATCTCGACTACAACGGGAAACCACTTAATTCTTAAACTCGTCGACGATATTAGTTACAACGGGTGTAGAAAGTACTCGTGCACCGTTCAATTTCCAAGAAAACTAGGTGAAATTGTAATTTATTTACTTTTTCTTTATAAACAATGATATCCTATGTATTCTTGGAAATCTCTAGAATAGATACAGTAAAAAAAAAAAGAAATTAGTTATTTATAGAAGTTGCGAAATTAACAAGAAAATACAATGAAACGATAGAAATACAGAAGCGATAAGTATTCGGACAAGTGTTGAATTTTTAAAATTTCATTTAAAAACAAAACCCGAAATTTACATTAATTTATAAATAATTAATACTTCGCGGGATTTCGTTTTGATTTTATAATTACTAGTAATTGTCGTTCGAACTATATTCTAGAGATCTTCGAGAATATGTAGAATATCATTGATTATAAAAAAAAAAAAGGAGTTAATAAACTACAATTTCACGCAAAAGTTTTTTGGGAAATTGATCGATGCACGAATATACAGGGTGTCCCAAAAGTCGGGGAGGAGCCGGAAATGGGGGGTAGCTGAGACGATTCTGAACAACAATTTCCTTTGCAAAAATGTCTGACGAGGCTTCGTTAGGGAGATATTAAGAGAAAACCCCGACCAATCAGAGCGCGCGTAGACCGTTCGAGCGGCCACGGTAGCGAAGGCTACGCGCTAGGCGGCAGCGTCAATATCCTTCGATGCACGTCGAGTCACTTGTTCGCGTACGAGAGCGGCTACCTAGCGCGTAGCCACCGCTACCGCGGCCGCTCGAACGGTCTACGCGCGCTCTGATTGGTCGGAGTTTTCTCTTAATATCTCCTTAACGAAATTGTTGTTCAGAATCGTCTCAGCTACCTCCCATTTCCGGCTCCTCCCCGACTTTTGGGACACCCTGTACATTCTACACCCGCTGTATCTGTCCCGTAACGATCAAAAGTCCGACGACTGGAAACCTTTACGATGAAACGTCTTTTAATTGGCCATTCATTTACGAATTACAAAGAAAATGTATCTATTAGGTTGTCCCAAAAGTTTCTTTCGTGAGTTGCATTCAATTTGGCAGATGCGCAATCAAGGTTGAACACGTTACATCATAGCGATACCGTATTCGTCTCCATTTTTTGTTTTTGTTTTTTCTTACGGTCATGTTATCACATTGTAGTTGATATCAAGGCCAGGTAGCCCGTTATTAAAGCATTAGTATTATTATTATTATTAATTATTTTCTGTGACAGTGTTTATATAAATAGACAATCTAATTTCTTAGACATTGATGCTGTAACAGTAATGGAGCGAAATGAATTGTACACAATTTTGTAACGTAACATAAAACATAAAGTATTGCGAATGAATGAAGTATTAATAAAACGAAAGAAACTTTTCGGACAACCTAAAACAATTATTCGTTCATCTTGACCGATATCCTTGACCGACCACCTGTATCAAAGTATTCGATACAAATTGGAATATCGAAAGGAGGATAACCTAAAGGGCGCCGTGAGCCTTGCCACTAGAGTTCGCAGCGCGCAAGTGTC